TTGTGCTAAATAGCCAGTTGCCTCTTACTTTCTATGTAGTCTTTTTATAATTTTTATAATTTAAATAGACAAGTAAATGAGGGAGGGTCATCCTGCCCACCCAGAGAGTGCCAGTTATGCTGTCTTGGACTTCCGGCAGCGGATGGTTGTGGCATCACAGCGGATAGAACTCGCCATCTCCCACCCCAGTCTCCATGTTGGCTAATAATTTTTATCACTAAAATATTAGTCGTTATTTTTTATTGACATTTTTCCCAGTGGCCAGTAGATCTGCACCATATATTGTTAATATTGTTCTTTCTTTAAAGCATGCAGATGAGCTCTGTAACTAATTGCTACAATTTTTTGTGTGCTGTGAGCATCCTGACAAATCACAGATTATGAGAATTCTGCAGGTGAAGACATGTAAAGCAAATAGTTTTGCTTGAAATAATGACTCATTTATGGCTCACCAATATATTATATTTCAAGGCATATTGCAATTGCATATTGTTGCTGTCAGAACAAAACCTTGTATTTCCAAACTGTTAACTTTGCAGGAGAAGGCAAAAACATTCTTAACTTGTAATGGAAGTGAATATAACCAGATTTATTTTCAAGTGATTTTGGACCATTTCTATTTCTATCAATCATGAAATTTTAACACAATATAAAGGGTAACTGGAGTTTTACAATTATGCAAATAACTAAAAAACAACAAAAATGAGCGACAATAACTAGTAGAATCGCAATATTGTATTTTGTCCACATTGTGCAGCTCTGGTGGTTACTGTATGCTATTACTGCAGACTGTGGTGGGAACTGCCGAGAGTGTATGTGAATATATATCCGTGTATGTGTTTGAGCTCTATCTAGCCTCTCTGGAGGCAGTTCCTGAGGCTGTGTGTGGGACAACAGAGGGCTGTGTTCTGTCTCTCTTTCAGCTGGCTTCTCAAAAACACACAGTGGCTACTCAGTGCCACAGCAGGGAAGGGTCCATCAATAGGGCGTTGTGTATTGTTAATTGCTTTAAAACTGTGCAGGGCCACTTTTTTTTTTTTTTTACAAGTTTTAGTGGTGTAAACATAATTAAGCGTCTGTCAGAGGGGGAAATTCGACCCCCACTCGACCCTCACATGCCTCATAACACAGAAGTGTAGGAAAAGGGTAGGACTGTGCAGTATGGACAGTCTACTTATATTGTGATTACATTGCTACATTTTTCAACTGCGATACACCTTACAATATATTAAAAATACATTGGTAAGAATAATAATGCAACATGCAGGCTTAAAGATTGGTCTGCAAAATAATTTTACTTTTGCTTGATTACATTAATACCTTGATTCATCAACACACCCAGAAAATCTGAATCTGGAGCTGTTAGGATCCTCACTGCACACAGTAAAAACACTGTCATGGGTTAGAGGGCTCATTTGCATATTGCAGCTTTCTATGACATCGGCATATAGGGTTGCCAACTCTCACGGCTTTGGGTCTTTTCTCAAGCTCTCACGCCATGCAAAGAAGCGCTGGGGTTCTCTCTGGCTCCAGGATTGCTCTGATAGTGCTCCATCTCATGAGTGTAATGTGCTAAGTTCCTCAGTTTGCCTACTTGAATTTAAACTTCTGTTTGGTTTAACTTCATCTTCTCTGCTGCTAGAGTTATAATGCATTACTCCCCTATCAAATATGTTTGTCTCCTTGCATCAGAGGCTTTATAAGCAACACATGTTTATAGTGCTGTGACAGACAAGAAAACCACAAATGTAGGCTGACTAATGCACTTCTCTCCAGCAGCGTTCACACTATCGCAGGGACGTTTTTTTTTTCACACCGTCTCATCCGCTCAAATGGACAGAGCCGTTTTTCTGTCGTGAATTCAAGTTTATTAAAATGTGCAGTCAATGACTGTAGGCTACTTTTTCAAATCCGGTTCATGTGTAAAAATTCAGAATATAAAAAAGTGAAGTCTACATTTTTTATTTTCTTGAATTATGAAATAATTGTTTTGTTGACATATTTGTTTTCATTCCTTTGATGAGTAGTTTGCCGCTACAAGCGCTGGAGTAATGTTGCAGATATACAAAGCAGTGCACAATGCAAATTTTTTGTGATAATGTGAACACTGCCATACATAGCAAATGACAAAATACGTACTGAGATCTACCTAAATGCGAGTTAAAAACCTCTCAAAAGCTAATAAAACTAAATGCATTTAATATGTATTTATCCATAGCTTAATTACAGTTTAAATGCACTTGTTATAAGTTGTTCTGAAATAATACATTTAGTATGTATGAAAGTGATGTTAAGTGTAAACATTAAAAAATCAAAACATTAAAAGTATGTACTTAAGTGTACACATTGAAAGTATGCACTTTTCACATTATGTACACTTTTTGAAAAGTTGCTGTATTCAGTTCCTCATGACTACACACTGGACACTTTCTTCTGCTGTTGCTCTCGAAAAACCTATCCCTTCTTATTATAATGCTGTTTGGTCATAACAAAGCAGAGGGGCTCTTCCTGTCTGCTCTCAAACCAGGTGAACATGCAGCTTGCTTTTATGCCCACTTACTGGTGGGGGAGCTTTGTCCTCTGTGGTTTTTCTGCTTTCAGTAGTGTATGTAATATGAGAGGTGTGTAAACATTGCTTGTGTAGTACATGTGTTCTTTCTTTCATTATAGAGATCAAAGGCTGTCTTCATTTGTCTATAAAACTGGTTTAAAGTCAACCTGACATCAAAATTGACCTTGTTAGATCATGCCTCAGTTCACAAGAATATATTATGCACAATTCATCTGAAAATATCATTTAAATGGCAAACTTCTTGTTTTAATGTAATCTTCCTTCAAAATGCATTGACTTTTAGGGGCTCCAGAGTAGCGCAACCATCTAAACATTGGCCATTTCTCTGGGAGATCGCAACATCCGTGACTGGGAGTCTGAGAGAGCATAATTGTCTCTGAGAGGGTCTTTAACAGACTTTAGCAGGCGTTAACGTTGTGGAATTCTTGCTCCAGGCTTGTTGAGCTGTCCAATGGCATTGTATTATTGGCAGTTTGACAAAAGAAGTGTGTGCTAGCCTTCACTCTCCCTACTTGGTAGCATGTTAATTTTGGGAAAAAAATTATGGTAAAAAAAAAAATGACATGGACCAGTATTTGGTGAAAAATTATATCATGTTTCATCTCCCCCTCCCAACACCTCACCATCTTTCATTAAGAGAAAATGCTCAGTTAGCTCAGAGACACTTCCTGATAGCGTGTTATAAAATGCGTTGAGTTCCTTTTCATGTGATCTTCAATCTAAGGACACTATATTAGCCCCACAGAACAGTTTTGGGAACAAGATTCATGTATCTTGCGTTAAAATATATATAAAAAAATACTTTCAGTGCTCGCTGTCTCTATCAGGACAAATTCACAAATGTTTTTCAAGATGAAGCTTTTGCTCTTTTTTATTTTTGCAAAGTCTGACAGACCTCAGCGAGCCCCAATCTGCAAATAAGTAGAAGCCACAAGCACATGTTCATCCAAATCAAGGCACATTTGTTTGTTTGGACACCCTCTTTTAGGGGGCTGCTTTGGCCCTGATTGCTGAAGTTGGTGTTTTTTCTCTCGGAGCTGGTGTGAGGTGGTGTGTGTGGTCTGCGGAGGCTAAAACACACAGCTGTTTTGGAGGTCTGGAGTATATGGTCCAATGAAACCACAATCTGAATGCAACCTCATGTTGTCTACAAGTTTTGACGATGGGTGTCATTAAAGCTGTAGAGGTCTCTTTTCATTTATTTGACTTTCAGTCAAAGCAACCTTTGAGTAAAAGCTATTCATTTTTTAGGTGATAGTTCTGAGGAGATAATTCACTTGCATACAGAAGGGGAAAGTCAAAGGAAAATAAGTGAAAGATTAGTTTCTGAAACTGGAGTTAAAAGATGTACAGGAAATGGGACCCCCAGCAACCGTACAAGACCTGGTAGACCACCAAAACTGTCCTCATCACATAAACAGCACTCAAATCTTTCATCTTTGAGAGAGAGTAGAAAATCAAGCACCACTCTTACTTCAGATTTTAAAAAAATCCACAGGTGTTTCTGTCCATCCTTCCACTGTGAGAAGACAACCCAGCGGTATAAGTCTGAAAGGATGTGTAGCTGTCAAGAAGCTCTTACTGAGAAAAGAAAATAGAAAAAAAACTTGCAAAGAAGCTGCTGCTGTTGTTAAAGCAATGGACTGACCACTCCAGAGTCCCGTCTCCAGACTTCAAAATCTATGAATGTGTTTGGGATTACTTTGATTCATGAGAAGCAGAAAATACACTCAACTTCTAAGAATGAATTTTGAAAGTGGGGAAAAAAATATCCCTGCTGAAAGTGAGTCTCCTGAAAAGAATGGAAGGTGTGATGAAGGCAAAGAGTGGACACACTAAATACACCAAAATATGTGTATTCTGTGTAAATTTCTGTTAAATATATGTTTTCTTCCTTTTCCTGACACTGAACAATGAATAACATGTGCTTAATGGCTGTTTTGACTGAAAATTAAATAAATAAATGCTGGCTTTGCGATACTGTATTTAGTATTTCAGCTTGCTTACTTCTGGCAGTAATACTTTTGATGTAATATATTTACTCATGTGGAAATTATGTACACACTCAAATCAAGTAAATTCAGTGCATTCCTTTTATTCAACGTAGTTTGACGATGCCTGACCGTGTTTATGATTTGTGTTTCTACCTCATTGCTTCCCTAAGCTGTGTGCTAAACGGAACCAGCTTTGCACTCAGTTCACCTTTTAAAGCCAAACCCATTGATTCAGTGACAGAAAGAGAAGGAAATTCTCAGCAATTAGAGACATATATTGCTTTATGAAGATTTATGGCGCTGTGGTGTTTTATAGGGATCTGTAGTGTTGCGGTATGATGTGTCATTAGCCTATGTTCTAGTCAGCCCACACTTTCCAGTCAGACAGTCACATGCTCGACCATGACACTGTGTCTTCCTGTTTCTGTTTCCAGATTCACAGAGAGAGGGACTCTCTCTGTCTTGACAGCTCCCAGGCCTCAACACACAGCAGAGCTTTAGAGAAACGACACAGCTCGGAGTCCACAGGTAAGGCTACATGCTTTTGTGCACTGTCTGCTAGAGCTGGGTGGTATATTGTGAGTATTGCTATAGCGTGATACTCACCTTAATATTTCTTTTCAGTTTTAATGATACTTTAGTGATATTGATCATGATGCCCACAATATAAGACTGTCCCTGTTGCTAAGTGGTTTGTGTCTGGTTTGTGTTTACAATATTGTGGTATGTTCCTTTTGGTGTACAAAGATAAGGATATGAGATGGTGTCTCAAAAAAAGACAACATAATAAATCCAATATAAAAACAAACTATGTCAGGTTTGTGAGACGTTCAACATACAAACTTGATGTTATGTAAGTTAGCATTAATAATTAATAAAGTTAATGAACTATGCTTCCTGTATACTTAAGTTCCTCATTTTTCAGGAAGCATAGTTCATTAACTTAAATAGCATCTCAAACTGTGATACCTTTATATACAATACAGTGCAAAAGTCAGAGACATATTTTATTCCAGTGAAAACAGCCATTAAGTACAAATGATTCATTTTTCAGAAAATATTTCAGAGTAACTTAGGTATAAGAACCCACTTAGGAGGGAGGAAGTCAAACAAAATTTAGTGAAAAAACTGTTTCCAAAACTAGAGTTCACTAAAAGATACATGGAAAATGGAACTCCTAACAACTGTGCAAGACCTGATAGACCACCAAAACTGTCCCCATCAGATGAACAGCACTTAAAGATTTAATCTTTGAGAGATAGGAGAAAAGATCTGAAAAAATCCACAGGTGTTTCTTTCTATCCTTCAACTGTGAGAAGACAACCCAGCGCTGTGGGTCTGAAAGGATGTGTAGCTGTCAGGAAGACCTGAGAAATGGAAATAGACAAAGAAGAAGAACATTTCAAAGTCAATCCAAGAAGGTGGTGGTGTTGTCATAACAATGGGATTGACCACCCCAGAACTTGAACACCCCATCTCTGAACTTGTTTGGGATTACTTGGCTTGTGAAAATGCAACCAACTTCTAAGACTGAACTTCCAGAAAAAGAATGGAAGCTGTGATAAAGACAAATGGTAGACACAATAAATACTGGAATGTTTAGTATTGTATTTAGTTGTTGAGATTTCTGTGTAATTATCTGGTCAATGTGTTTTATACTTTTTTACTGATCCTGAAAAAATTAATAACTTGTACTTATTGGCTGTATTGACTAAAAAAATTAAATAAATGAAGAGTGGTGTCTGACTTTTGCACAGTACTGCATGCTAGGAGAGTGTTCTATACATATTCAGCAAGTGTCCAATGCAGGCCAAGTAGTATAGACATTGATTATTTTAATCAAATACAATTTCAATTACAAATACAAATAATAATTGTTTGTTGTTGTTTATTTGTATGTTATAGGCTGAGCGTAAAATGCTAAAAGAAAATAGAAATAGCTAGTTTTGAACAGAATTACCTGTATTACTCCACGTCAATACAAACAGTTACAGAAGGAATAAATCCATCAATCCAAGTACATCTTACAGAATGGTCGAATGATATGCCTTTGAGGAAAATTGCAGTGAAGAATATTATGATTCAGATGCTTGCAAGTAGTGCAAAACAGCAATTCTGCTTCTGTGTCATAATTACGTGAGTGAGTTTTTGTGTGTCAGCAGTACTATACACTTAAATTGGCATATTTTTTAAGCAAAGCAAATGAAAAGCTGTAAGAAAGCCCATTTCAGAGGAAATGACATGCTACACTGTTATTAACAATAAATAGGTCAGTGTATTGTGGTGTAATTGAAATGGAACAGGCCACAGTTATTACCAAGTCAATAAGAAGTCATGCAGTCAGAAGAAAGACTCGAGGGTGAATCAGATCAGAGGAGGCTGAATGGCGAGGCATGCTTCTTCAGCCAAGGTCTGCTATAGAGGAGAATGATGTCATTGTGTGCGAGTGATCTGAAGTCTCATCTGCACCAGCTCTGTGTAGGACTGGCTTCAGCTTTGATGTTTTGATGTTCGTGACAGGATGCACGGCAGGATGTGCTATAGATAACTACTCAGCATTAGGTAAAGTTGCGTTGGTGATAAAGAAAGTTGCAGATTGTTTTATGTATTTAGGTTTTTTTGTAAGTTTAGCAGTGAGTTGTTGCCTCGTGGCTCTTTAAAGAGACACTTGTGAAGTTGTAAGGAACTTTTCATCCCTGATCCATTTAAAATCCTGTTATCCCAATTGGATTTTACTTGCAAGCATGTTCAAGAATGTTCAGAACGACTTGTGTGTTTGGTCACTTTGATGGTTAAAGTCCATGGTAGATCAGAGAAGATGTTTGTTTATAGTGGTATCTCCTTCAAAGTCCTTGTCTTAATGGTAAAAAACCCTCAGCTGAGGATAAGTAGAGTTAGCAGTAGCACAGAAAACTAGCGTTCAGCACTTCTGAAGGCCTTTTGTTGTACCGCAACAGTAAAGACTTTTAAAGGATGGCAGGTATACTGGGATTAAAATGAATACCAGTATGTTGTCTATGTATACTGCCATAAGCCCTAAACCATAAAGAGCCCAAGCCCCAAATACAAATAAAGGTATGTATCTTTTTGCTGTCATGCCCAAATAATGAACTCCATGTCTAAGCTGGTTTTGTATTTTGACTGTTTGATGGCCTTGTAATTCAGAAGATCAGAGGAGAGGCACAATATCAGAAATGCAATTCATTTTTAAATGCAATTCATTTTCCCATATAGAAAAACAGCCTAGGCCTGGAGTTCCTTTTTTGGGTTTGTGCAGAGTGCAAAATGACATGACAACAGAATTTCAGAGGTGTATAAACATGAATCTGAACAATATACTATTATATTTTACTACAATGTGATATTATAGTCTGAAAGCTATAAATCATTCTGAATAGGGATTTCAGTCAAATCTGATTTTCGAATGTATAAGGCATAATTAACCCCCCTCCCCCCCAAAAAGCTGTAAATACATAAAATAATAATCATAACTACAGGACTCTTAAGGTTATATCAGGCAGAGACCACCAGAGGCAGTAACACCACTCAGCATCCATTGTAGGTGACCAGGTTTGAAATTCACACCAAGAAAGATGTCGGTCTGAAGTCTTTGAGATCAACGGACAAATGTTAATCGTGTATCTTCACCTCAGCTAACGCTACTATCCTACCTGCATAGCATTTACACCTCAGCTTGAAAACAGCTAGTTTGTGAAGTTACTTAGCTTAAACCAATCTAGATGAACTCAATAAATGATGATGAAAGTTTTATTTCAACAAATCTATATGAGTAGAGTATAAAATGAGCTTGAGCTTCTTGTTTATTGAAGCTTTTTGAGACACTTCGGTGCTATAGCTGATTTTATCTGCTATACTATAGCATAGCTGTACTAAAAGTGAGTGTGACTTAAAAAACAGAAAGTGAAGTGCTGAAAGTGGGTGTGTTCACTGACTATTACAAACTTGAGAGTAATTAAGAAGCCTTGATTTTAATAACATGGTTACAGGATGTAATTTAGATAGCCAATCAGCAGTCTAGCTTTTGGAACAAGCATGCTTATTGGCTCACGAATGCTGAAATATGGTACTGATTTTTTTTATACTTGGTAGTTTTGATGGAATTTTGATGCCTAGCCCCGTTCTTATCTCCCATCTCTACATTCATATAATATCACAATGTAAAAGTGATGCATTGAATTGACTTCAGAAGTGTACATAAATTTGCACATGAAAACCTATATTACATCAACTCAGGTTCAGTTTATTTACTTCTGTCTATAACTGTGTTGATGTAGTGTATTTTATTCACATTTGAGTCATTTGTATCAAGTAAATTCAGTGCATCATTTGTTTGTTTACTAAGCACTCTGTTGGTAAACTCAGAGCTAATCCTGCTGTGGAGCTATTTCAGCAATCCCTGATTCAGGCTTCAACAGAAAACCTCAGAACAGCGTAGAAAAGCCAAATCACAGTTTCTCACCGGAAAGCATGCGGACAAAGGACAGCTGTAGTGGACTCAGCGTGCCCCCCCACCCTTTTCTCAAGCCGTCATGGCACCTGTGGGGTGTATGACAGCTGACAAAGCTCACACTATGCTGTCAGATGCCCTGTGCTTGCACAACAGAATCAACACTAGAGCTGAACACTGCCCTTTTAAACCGCAGTTATCCCCATAAAAATCTATCAAAATCAAAAAATGTTTTTTTTTTATGTGTTATTTGGTAAGCTGACTACCTCAAAACTAATAGCACCACTGTTGGTCCAAAATGGGAAAACAAATGGAGTTAATGGAACACAATTTTTTAAAATTAATTGTGGACCATTTTTATTCTTCTATTCATCATGAAATTTGACTAATTTCTGTAAATAAAAAGTAAAACAGCGATGATGTGTAAGTTACATAGGGATGAAAATGTGGAGACTGCCCTTAGAGATTGATCTGATACAAATCTGATATAAAGCATAGAATCTGGGGTTTAATATGATATAATATTGGATAATATGATGGAAACCAACAATAGAAACTGATGAGCTAATGAGAAGCTGAACTGTAGAAACAGTGTGGGGGCTGGGGAAAGCTACAGTATGCAAATAATGGAACTTATTTGAGGTATCTTTGGTTTCTCCCCCACGCATGTCACTACCTGATACGTCATCCTGTTTCTGAGTAGCATGTGTCTAAGTTAGAACTCTGACATTACTCTGGAGGGTACACATGTCGTCATATGAGGAACTAATCCACAGGCAAAAGGCAGAGGCTTTGGTCAAGATGAAGTTGGACACCTCTAGAATAAGTAATCAAGTTTTTAATAGAAAGTTTCTTGATGGTTTCTTCACAGAAGCAGCTGCATGAATGTGCGCTAAAACCAGCATCAGTACTTCATGGCAGGCTTTTTATATCAACCCCTGAGAAAGTGTGGAGATTTTTTTCTTATTCTTCTGTGAGAAAATATGAGAAGTGAGAAGTGAAAGTAGCCTGAGCATGTGTATGTACTCATGTGTTGCAGAGAGTCCGCGCTCGCAGGCCCGGCACAGCACAGGCAGCACCACTCTGAGGGACTCCGGCAGTGATACAGATGGCTTCATCAGCACAGACACGGGAGAGGACAATGTCTTCAGGAAGGTGAGAAAAGAAAGAGAGTACAGGGCACTGTTAAAGAGATACTTCAGCCAAACAACTACAACTTTGCATAGTTCACACCGTTTTTGCCTTATCACAAATGTAGTCAGTCAGCCAAGAAATGTTTGGTGCCTGACATTTGCTTCTTTGGTTTTGCACTGGAGCTTTGAGGCTCAAAACTGTATTCTTAGGTGGTTTCCGACACTGTATGACATACTCTTATCTATAAGAATGAACAAAAGTGTGGACAGTATCAAGTAGTGTTATATGAGTAAGTCTGTTGTAGACTACATACCAACTTCACACACTTGGAGGTGAGTCTGTGATGATTTAGCTGTGCAGTTTAATAAGCTGGTGACTATAAAACATCACATTAGCTACATTAGCCTGTTAGCTCCAGTGCTAAAGGAACAAACTTCAAACACCAAAAACAGCTTAGCTGGTGAACTACGTTTAGGGAGGATATTGTGAACCAGTTTAATATAATAAAAAAAAAGTTTCTTCAAGCCATTATCAAATCATTAGCTCTTTGAACTGAAAAGGCTACACAACACTTACATGAGTCTTTCAGAACAACTGAAATAAACCTAAATGAAATGTTCTGTCAGATTGGTTCAAAGTCAGAGTTCAAAACACATTTTGGACTTGGACTTCAGATTAAAATCCTTTTAACTAATTTAATTTTAACTTTAGCTCATTTTGAACAGAACCCAAAAACGCTAGCTAGTACATGACAAGCAAACATAGCTTTGAACAGTTGTACACACATGAAATCATAATGTTCATATTAACCCCTGAAAATCCTAGTCTTGTTACATACTAAGGCTTATTATTTAGTAACTACTGCGACTTCAGAGCTATTCTTAGGTTATAGAAGTGTGTAATAAAACTTGTCATGTAAGGGGTTAAAAGACAAAAAAGGTTTACTTAGGTGCCAGAAATGTGTTTCGGTAGAGACGGTTCTTAATATTATACATTGATTTCTAGACTGTGGAACACATTTACTTAAAAACAATATGATCTAACTGCTCACCATGTGGCCATGAGGGACAGGGATGCAGTCTCACTTCCTGCTCTAAAATGCAGGGGTGTGGTTAAAATAAGGCTCTGACTATGGACTAAAACTCTGTTTCGGTAGTGACATGAAAACGTGAGAGCATTTTTTGAGCAAGTTTTTATTTAAAAATTAAACTCATAACAAATCTAGATCTCTCAACTTTGACTCAAAAAGATTACTGTATTACTGTGGGACTGCGGTTGAACTTATTCTGTAGAATTATGTAAATGTACACATAAAGCTTAGTCCAACTAGCCCATAAAATTGACAAAAGCATGACAATTGACACTTGCAGGAATAAGCCTATTAGTGTTTATGTAGGTTTATGTCAGTTGTCATTAAAAGCTTATATAGTTTTCCTTACGAATGCTGCCCTGGAACTGCAATTCTTATGGTCTGTTCAAGCTGAATTAGTTCTACCTAACCTTTTATTTTAGCTCTACATGAACTGTCGATTTCTAGGAAGTTTAGCTCAAATGCTTCTCTCCATTAAGTTCATGTGACCATAATGCTTATAATTTTCCCTGTACTCTTTTAAGCCCCCACCTCGCCCGCCCACTCGCTTGCACATGCCCCCACTCCTCAGCTTCCTCACACACACATTCGCTGGAAGTCATTTCTGGGGCACATGAATGGAAAGCTTTCATCCCCAGAGCCCCAACAAAACCCTCTATGTGTGTATTAGAGGCACAGAGCCTTCTCCGCCTCCTCTCTCACGCTACCTCTGCATAGCACAATGGCCTGGCCAAAGCCTCACACCCAACACCTTGGGATTATTTCAGCCATCTGTATATGTATATGTGTGAGTGTTAGCTCTGGGTGAATATGCTCTATGTGTGTGTCCAGGTGTACAAGCACGGTGAGAGTGAGGTTTCTATGTGTGTGTGTGCGTGTGTGTGGGTTTGCTGGCTTCACACAGTGGGTCACTAGTGAGCGTCAGAAACTTTTGCCCCATAATCCCCTTGCAGTCTCGTTTCACAGCCTGAGTCACTTCATTGCTAACAGAACCCACATGTTCTACGTTGCACTGTAAAAATGATTTCATTTTAAAAAAGGATGTAACCTGGCTGCCTTCTTTTTCTTCAAACTACTATTTTTATTTTGTTGCGAGAGAAAATGACAGTCATAAATACACTTCTCAAAAAGAGTAAGGAATTAGTTTATTAATATTTAACATTTTTAAGAGACAATATCATTGCTGTCACACTAAAACCTATTATCTCTGTTTCTGTTGGTTTTTTACATAATCTGAAAATCCAGATTATCCTTTGCAGAATGCACATTTTATGGCAGCCAGGTAACTTACTTTTTAAAGACTAAACATAGAGTGTTTTCACTATAGAACTGAGTTCTGTTAAAGTGAACCTGAAAGGGAACCAACTGCAAATGACCTCAATTCTTTTTGTGTTCACAATGTAAGTGAACTATAAAGAGGACTCTTTCTCATTCTTTCTGGTCCTTTGAGATCTCACTTCTTGTTTAGACCACGACTTCATTCAAACTCAGACCCCTTTCACACCACTCATGGTGTGCGTATTTCTTGCAAAGTGGGCAGCGTTCTCTGATAAATCTCTCACCTCAAGAGGTGGTCTTAGTTCGGTTCGTTTTTGGGCCCGATAAGAGGGAGTTTGCTTGCTCACATATGCACAGAAAACCATGACACTGAAACGGCCCAAGTGTGAAAACACCCATAGAATCTTTCTGTTTTTTCTTTTCCTTCCTTTGTTCACTTTACCGAGCCTAAAAGGCCTCATTTTATTAACCCTTTCATTCTAAGGGACAATGTCTAAGTCTACACTTTTCTTTCTTAACTGCATAATTTACATATTAGTTTCATAGAAGTTACTGAATAATTCATAGGTCCTGGATAATAAATCTTGAAACCAGAGTTTGGGAACGTTTCACAAATGTACACAGTTTTGCCGCTGCTACTGGAACTGTGAGGCTAACAGACTAGCATGTGTGGTTTCTGACACTATGACATACTTTTATCCTTAAACATGGACAAACACTGTACAAATTCAGGTTTCAAGATGCTGCTAGTACTGTTTTTAGCTGTGCAGCATACTTTTGTCTATTTGCATAGATTACAGTAAATCATACAGTGTCAGAAACCACATTTGCAAGTCAATCTGAGATTGAGGTGAGATTTTGATGATTTACATACTGCAGATTAAGTGGTTAACCCTGTTTCACAGTAGCTATAAAATGCAATTTGCACTTACTTTGGAGGTCTCTCAGATGAACAATGTATTATTGTTTTTCAGTTACATTTACATAAATCAAAATATGAACATCAGAAAAAAAGATTTTTTATCAAGATATCTGTCCGTTTTATTTCAGTGTGGTCATCTTTGTGGAGAGGTGTGAATTGTTTTCACAATAGACGGTTTTCATTCCTCCCCATTGCTCACAAGCAGCTCAACACAGAGTCACAACTTCAGACACAGAGCGAACAGTGTCCTAGCTAATCTGATTACAGATTGAGTTACAGGCAAAAATATTTTATTTGATTATAGCAGTTAAAAATATCCAAAACACTTTCTGCAGAATGGCCACTAAGGGAGCTGCAGAAAGAGGCCCATTAAAGATTACACTGATCTGCAACTGCAAGAAGTATTGAAACATTGTGATTGGCTTTACTCCAATCACTGATCCTGTCTCAGAAGTTGCATGTACAAATAAAATAACATACATTTAAAACAAACCAAAGCTTGTGGTTGAAACTAGAGGAGCCTCAACCTTTTCAGATCTTACTGCTAAATAAAGCCCTACAGTGGGCGTAACAAAGCCTCGCTTTATGACTATTGATGGACTCACATGATAATTGACTTGGAGTTTCTTTTGACATTTTGTGATCTATGAAAAAGTCCCAAAACTCAGTTTCACAGTCTCGTTAGAGGTTCTGTATTAGCTGAAGCTGTACTGTACACTTATAGAAATAAAGGTTCTGTGCAGGTACATTTTTCATTCATCAAGGTACAAACAATGTAAATGCTCCATCAAAGGCACAACAGTGGTTTTAAGGTCCATTTGTGTACCTTAAATAAGTTTTTCTCTGGTGAAAAGTACATATTGGAACCTTTTCATAACCTAATGTTTTAAAACAGAACAATAAAATAAAAAGCCTGGAGACGAGACGGGGTGTGTGGAGTCAATACAACTTAGAAAATATCATTTAAATGGATTATGGTACAATTATGTTCCCTGACTAAAGGTACTGAGATGTACCCTTAAGGGTACCTTTATTTCTGAGAGTGTAGCAATGTTGGAGTCCAGCACAATTTGGTGATTACCCCACATTTAGTAAGCCAGCTAACTAACTGCTGAGGTAACTCAGGCATGTGAGAAGAGAAATAACTTTGCTCGACTAAGGCAAGAACCAGAGTTTAACACTGCTGCTCTGCGGTGAATTTCACGCGGTGACCTGGCATACTCTGGCTACGCTCACATCACAAGCCTTATTGGTCAAATCTGATTTTTCGTACTTGATGGTTCACATATGAGTTTGTAAGTGACCCCATCTGTCATTAGTGTGAACAGACTGCTGTCCTGAAATGACCTGCATGCTTTCCCCACACTGAATGATGACAAATGCATGCACAGTTAAGTGTAACGTTAAAACAAAAAAGGACAGAAGAATTCAGCTCTGACTTCTCATTATGGTCACATGACCATGTATCATAATTTACATATGTGAAAAAGCCGAGAAATGTTTTTGGTTAAAATGCATCAGAAGAGTTCACACAGATCCGAATCAGATCTGAGCACAGCCTTGGGCAAACAAATTGAATTTGTACCACTTCAACGCTGTAATGTAAACGCAGTCTTAGGCAAAAAATCTCATTTGTGTAACTTCAACCCTGTAATGTGAACATAGCCTGAAGCAAAACAATTGGATTTGTATCTGTTCAACTCTGTAATGTGAATGTCGCCTCAGGGAAGAAATTGGATTTGTGCCTCTTCAACTCTGTAATGTGAAGGTCGCCTTGGGGAAAAATTGAATTTGTGCCTGTTCAACTCTGTAATGTGAATGTCGCCTCAGGGAAGAAATTGGATTTGTGCCTCTTCAACCCTGTAATGTGAAGGAATCCTCTGTGTGCTCCTGCAGGCAGAGGAAACGCTAGGCCCTGGCGACAGCACCAGTGAGGCATCAGTCTCCTGCTCCTCCACGGACGACACTGCTAGCCTGGGCCACCCTAGTTCCTCTGCAGAGAGCTCTGAGGAGGTGCGGCGTGGGGGAGGAGGAGGAGGTGCAGGGGTAGGCGCAGGAGGAGAGACAGAAGAGGAGGCAAAAGACCGACTAACGGAGGTTCCCCTGCGCTCCTCTCTCCTCCGCACCACTGTCCGCTCTCTCTCTCCTTTCCGTCGCCATAGCTGGGGGCCAGGCAAGAACCAAGGAGGAGAAACAGACATGAATCAGCGCAGGTGAGTGTGGTTTAGCGGTGATGACAAACAGTGTTCACCTTTTTACAACAAAATATGTAAGTGCAAGTGAAATAGTACACAGTACACCATCTACACTGCTCATCAAAAGTTTGGGGACACGTCGTCCATTTTTTAAATTTGCATTTTGGTTTGACTGTTGTTTTAGCTTGTAACTCACTCATGTTTAGCAGGCTGAATATTGTCCACATGGGGGCACTTTTGGATATATCTTGCTTCCACACTTTCATCAAAGTGTCTTTCTTAGTATGAAGAGCAGTATTTAATGCTTTTTTTTTCCAAACCGTTGTTAAAAGCACATATTTGAACTCTTTTGGCCCAAAGAGGGTTTAAAATCCTGAAAAGTATGAATGCTAATGCAGGTTGGCATTATTCCTAAAGTAGGGCTTTTATGGGGTGATCCGTCAGTTTTTGCACAAAAAATGGGAAGATCTAAACAGCTTTCTATTTAAAGTGTTATGTTACTGCAAACCAGTAAAGAAAACATGCTCATTTGTGTTTAAGAAACAGAAAAAATAAAAGCAAACAGCTACGGATGCACAACGATAGTGGAGTCATTTTATTGCTTAAAAAACTGAATCTGACAGATGTTTAGATCTTAATTTTTCAAACTGAGATTTGATGTATTTATTGTTACAGAAGAAAATATTACTTTTTTGTAATGCTAATCCAGGTAGATGTAGCCCTATTTCTGTTTTTTTAAATGTTTATATCAGCATGAGCAGACATGAACATGAAAAATATTTGATAATGGTATCGGCCTGCAATTCCAATATCAGCACGTCCCTACAAACAGCAACTGTTTGCATTATGCACATGACATCATGTGAATTAGTAACTGTTAAACAATCGCTGCTAGCCATGTTTGGTCAGTCCGTTCCTTTAAAATCTTATGAAAATCTAGGTGTCCCCAAGCTTTTTGTCAGCTTTAGCAAAGGGTCATACAGTAAGAACAAACAGAAGTCAGCAGGTGATCCAGCCAAGCCAGGCCAGGCAGTTCACTCTTACATCTTAAACATCCTTTTTCATGTCACCTTTCTTTGCTCTTCATTTCTTTTGTCACGTACAGTATCAATACTCTCATAAACACATAATATTAAAACTGCATGCTCAGATTACTATTTTTATTTTGTATTAATACACCATTTGTTTCTCTAATGTCATCTGCACAGGCACAACTGTACTGTACTATTAAGTAGTCTGACTCATAATAATTCAGCCATTTCCATCTTTCTTATCTGCCTCATCTGTCCATTTCTAGCTCTGTACGAAGTACTGGGGTCCAAAAGCCTGTCTTTCACAGAAGAAGGTATAACCTCTTTTATAGGCTCCTTTTTCCATCTTTTAATAATTTCTGTTGAAATTTGCTGGGGCTTACAGTGCATCTATACTACTTTTCCCATTTTCTTTAAAAAAAAACTTCATTCCATTTGTTCATTTTTATTCACCCTCGCTTGGTAACATTTTATTTTAAGCAACGGATTTATTTTAAGCGGATGAATCTGATGATTGCAAGCACATTGAAAGAGTATTCAAAAAGAACATTATTAGTTGTAATCATGCAAAAGAAATAGATTGTTAAGACCTTGTTATGTAAATTATTGCGCATGAAATAATGATATAAATTCAGATCTTATTAGTATGTAATTGGCAACATTTGTTTCTTATAGGTTCTAGGTAGCATCAAGTATTACTTAATTAATAAGTTACAAATACTACAAGATGTGTTCCATATTCTAAAGTGCCATTTTAATCATCTCAAATTAGAGGCCAAAAGGTGCCCAGCAAGTCAATTTACATCCTGTATTTTAAAGTAAATTAAAAGTAATTGAAGGTTATTTTAAATAATTGTCATGGCTTTTTGATAACCAAAAATCTACAATCTAGGAATATTTTAAGTTAAGTTTTAACCCATTTTAACAACTAAATGATTTCTTAAATGGGGTTTCAAGGTATTTTAAAGTAAAATATTATGAAGAAGGTGTCTAATTTGTGATGCAAATTGACTTATTGAAAACATGTTTAGTGCTTTTAAACTCATTTCACAGACAAAGATTAAGCTTAGTCCTGGACCGTACAGCATTCTGAATGGAGATTCCCCATTGAAAGCAAGATTAAAATCCAGAGACCTCTTGCTGCTATCTATAATCCACAGGGATAAAATGTTCCCAATTATACATTTAGAAGATGTAAGTTCAGATTATTACCTCATTCTCAGTAATTTGCATAACAAGGTCTTAAACTGTTTATTGTGCATTATTGCAACTAATGATCCAATTTCATTTTCACATAACCGACCTCCAACTGTGCAGTAATGCTGATCAAAGTGAATAAAGCTTAATATGTAGAGAATAAACCATTTAGGGGTGTTGAACAAAGACCTTAGTAAGCCCCATTATGTGTTTCTTCAAATAAAGCAGTACCAAATGCTAAGAGCAAATACCTCATTCTACCCTTTCCCTGTAACTCAAAGTGCCTGTGTTTGGTTTGGTTCATCCTTGTTGCCCCCCTCAGTCTTAGCTGGTGTCCCACTCAGCCCCTCTTCAGTTCTGACCTGGATGAGATTAGTCAGCTCTTCAGGTATTGTGTGTTTTTGTATGTGTGTGCATGTGTGTGCGTGTCTGCTTGCTGCAACCTCAGGCAAACGGCCAACCCCTTTGACTTGCGCATAAAGCTTTTGCATTGAGATTTGCATCACCTTTTTTGTGTGCAAGAGAAGAAGAGTGTTTGATTTAACCCAGCTAAAATACAGCTTAAGGGAGTGTGATAGTGCTGCTTCAGAGAACAAAATACAGTTTTGCCTGGGAGGTTTTATACAGGATGACCGGTATAGTGATTATTGTAACTTGTCCAGATGCCACGTAAGTACAAATTTTAAGCACAACTGGTGCAACAATACATTTGCATTATTGCTTGGTTGTACAAGACTGTGCAAAAGTCAGAGACCATCCTATGTTTGTTTAATTTCTTTTCAAAGTTGCTCATTTTTCAACTACACAGAAGCCTCAACAGCTAAATATGTTAACTTTTTTCAGTATTTAGTGTGTCCAACTTGTCTTTATTACAACTTCCATTCTTTACAGGAGACTTGCTTTTAGTTTTTCGAAGAAATCTGCAGGGATATTTTTCCACACCTGCAAAGTTCAGTCTCAGAATTTGATGTTGAAACTTCTGTGTTGAAGTGCATTTTTTTGTCTATTTCTCTTCTTATTAAAGGTTTCTTGACAGTTACACATCCTGAGCTCTTACAAAAATGAGAGCTTTAATTGTTCTTTGGCTGATGGGGAGAGTTTTGGTGTCTACCAGGAACTTCAGTTATTTTTCTTTGACTATCTCCTTTCTTTGGCAAGTGGATTTTCTTGTGTCTAATCTGAGCTATTCTGACTGAAAATTACACAAATGAAGGGTGTTCTCTGACTTTTGCACAGAATAAACGGCTTAGATGATGAGTGAGTGAGTGAGTGAGTGAGTGTATATTATATTAGTATCTTGTTTGTATATTTTAGGTCCAAGTTTTTAGAGTAAAGGACACCACAATACTAGTCATTTTAGCCATTTTGAGGTTGTGAAAGTCACTGTTGTTCACACTTCAGTATCAGGATGTCACCTGCTGGTTTTTTGCGCAGTCCCTGGCCCAAACTTGTGTGCAGGGTTTTGACTTTCAAGGACGTGCATATTGTCATTCTTTGTCAAGCTAGAAATTATCATCAATGCGTAGTAACTGCACTAGTGGCCAAGCTTAAAGCGATAACTCTGTCCATGCGGGTGATCTGCTATGTTTTGCAACTCTGTTCAGCAACATAACACTGCATACTTCCTTCTTCTTCAACTAGCAACTGTTTAACCCTGATTCACTTATCATGGTTTGGCTAAAAGTCAAATTGACACAGTTTTCCCCCTTACGTAAATGTAGTCAAACAGCCAAGACATGTTTGGTGTTTGAAGTTTGCTTCCTTAGTATTGCACGGGAGCTACTAGGCTAGCTAACAAGTAATGGAAGGTTCCTGACACTGTATGACATACTGTTTGCTATCTATAAAATGGACAAAAGAACATCTCGCAAAGCAGTAGCAGCGTCCACCCTGCAGAGTCTTTAGTTTGTTTTTATACAGCTGAACTTTTGAAAGTCATGGTTGAGGATGTGTGTGTTGACACAGGCATGCAGTATGGATGATGCTATAAGCTTCCATTACTTAGCTTTAGCATTAGCCTCTATACACTGGCTCCAGTGCATTGACATTTATGCATTTGGGAGACACTTTTATCCACAATGACTTAAGCTGGGTGTATATAACACAACTTTCAAATTGTAACAGATTTTAAAAAAGGCATCACACACTTATGCCAGTCTTTAACTGAATTTCTTGTTTTTTTGTCATGATGGAGATAATAAAGCAAAAAGAGGGCATCACCAATAACGAGTTTCAGCAATCCTAAATCTCACTGTTATCAGCTGATACAAACAAAGCTAAGCTGGACCAAAACTATTTCTGCTTTTATGCACGCACAGGAAGAAACATGGTGAAAATGCAAAGTGGGGATGAATATGTGGTGAGAAACACAGATATCACAGCGAGAGCTGGAGAAATGTTTTACTACAAACTGGCAGCTGACTTGAAACCGTGAAGATCAAACCTTGATGTCTGGAACCACATATTATAAATGCTATAAAGGCTCATATTGTTCAGCCTGCAGCTCCTCTATCTCTGCAGCAGCAGCACATATGATTTGTATACATGTCTCTTCGTTGTTTTTTCTTTAATTATTTGTTACCTGAATCACTCAGTCAGTGTTGTTGCTGACCATCTCAAACTACAGGACTTGTGAATGTTTTGAGTTGTAAGAATCAAACGTGTTTGAAAGTATCAGAAAGTCTCCAATAACATCAGACCTAGATTGGAAGGGAAGATTGACTGGTTTCCTCTCACATACTACCAGATCATCAGTGCCATTAGTCGCTTCCAATCAAACTTTCAACCTGGAAAATCACTTCAGATTGTAAAGTTTGGCAGAAGGGGCAAATCAGGGTTTAAATCAGGCTAAATAGGGGTAGGTAAATATAGCTTGCCCAGGGGCTCTTATTGGTACAGCACAGTGTTCTTGCTTAGGCAGGGAAATGAACCACAGCCTGCCACGTGAAGGGCAACAACGTTACCCACTATGCTTTATCAACTGCACAGTGCAAAAGACTCCAAACTTATCTTGGCTAATTGACTATATTTGGGAATTGGGGAAAGTTGTCTAAATTTGGCCAACCATTGCTTTAAACTCTGGTGGAATGTCTGGGAATTGGGGATATTTAGGTTTAACAGCAGTTGGCTCCTGCCTGACTGCTGACTGTGCTCTGACAGTTACAGCCTGGAGGGCCTGGCCGCAGAGCGAGATGATGGAAAGGGATGGCAGCCGCAGGGGGGAGGCCCCTCTCAGGGCCAGAGGGGGGTCCACCGGCAGCAGAGTGAGGACAGGGGATCACAGGTGTCCCTCACTGAAGAGGGGCTGGAGTCCGACCTGGGAGACCACAGCAGTCTGGATAGTCAGGTACGTAAAGGCTGACTGTCTGCTAAGCCTACACAAGGGACAGTCATTCTAAGTCCAGCACACTATGTTTTAGTTACACCTGTTCAATTATTAGCTGTGCTGATGAGAAAAAGCTGAAAACTCCTGATGTCACTCCTAATGTACACATATATAACTGTTTTTAGAAATCAAAGAAATATCGTCCACTGAGACACAACTGTCCATCCATGACCCTCCCCCTCCGACAGTCCGTATCCATGCTGTCTATCAGCCAGAGGGATATAGATGGTAAGTTTGCGAAGTTCCCCTTTTTCACCCAAAAATGTTCTCAGTTAGTTATGCTCTTATTGTGTTGTGCTACAGATTGCTGAAGACCCCAGCACTAACTTTCCAGCACAATTGACTTCATAGATCACAGCCCAAACTTTAAGCTGTTATCAGCCCTTGCTATTTGTGTAGCTGTTGTGCTTTTTTGCCACTCAAAAACGCCATGATATTTGGACTCGGTACGTTGTGTAGGTCCCCAGTTACCATTAAACGTTATTATAGCGCACGGCTACTGCAGGTTTTGAAAATACATTAATAAAATATTAATATATAAACTCCACTCTAAATCAAGCACACTTATGTCTTTACTATGTTCAAATTATTTTAAAGTTTTTTAAAATTTTTGTTTTTATTATTTTTAGCAATTGCAATTCCTGAAATCTGGTGCAGCTGTCGTACCCTCAGTACCCCTAACTAGCATAGAATAGTCCTGTCACAATTATTACATAATCACCCGATCACAATTATTTCAGCTGATTATCAGCGCAGTTATTTTTCACAGTTAATTTTCAGAGTCATGTTTACGTGTGATGTAAACAAAAGCAAAAGCAGAAAACATTTATTTTTTGAAACATGTCATGGGTTGTGTAAAAAAAACAAAACAACAAAAGTTCTAACTTCTGGTGCTAAAACACCTTCAGAGGGCAGCAGAGACTAATGTTTATTTGAGCTGGAGCTGTGTCTGTAGTCAGTTTGGAGCTACTAAATATCGACAGCTATAAAGCAAGATTGCTATTCGGCAGTCAGCCAGTTTGGCCACTTTAGGCTTGTACTTTCATAGTTGTAGACAATGAACCTTATATTATCACTGTTATATATGTGGCAATTAATTGTCAACTAGAAATTCATGATAGTGATAGGCCTAAATGTTTAGACACTAGTGGATAAGTACCATGAGTTAGCCATTAGTTATTTGCTATTAGTGTCCCGCTCTTGTCCCTTGGCATAGTCCCACTCCTGTCCCTTGAGAACATAACTGGACCTGTTCCACTCTGGACTAATAAGCTCCTGCTCTGATCTCTTTTGTGCCCTTGGCTGCCACCTGTCAGCAGTAGGAAGAATTCGGCGAAAGAGAAGGATCTCTTTTACCTTCAGCATCTCTCCAATGCTCCAAAAATCTAAAACCAATTTTGCTGTCAGCTCTTCATCAAGTGATGATGAGGACTCCATAAGTAAGTTACAGTAGTTCAGTATTAGTACACAAGCAGTGCATGGGAAACACTGAAGTAGAAGCTAGAACATCCCAGTTACCCGTAGTACAATAGCATTCGATGAGGCCAGCCTGTTCTTTCGAATCACAACCAATCTGAAACATGAACTCTGTTACATCTGAACATTTGGCAACAACACCTTAAAAACTCAGAGCTGCTACAACAACACTATTTTTAAACTGAACAGTGTTATTTTTGTCCATTTCAATCCCCATGCTTTTAATGCGGGTCAGAGATCGGCACTCACTGAAATGTTTACAATATTTTTCCATCTCCATGGCTGAGTTGCTACCAACACAGTCTTGCCAACTTTCTCCACTTTGTCTTCTTTTGGAACCGTTTATCCCAAAGCCCCTGAATTACTCTCTGTTGGCATGACTGTAAAACGGAGAGATTTTCTGCGGTTTGCATATTTGGAATTAACATTTTCCTGACTTCCCGTGACTCTAAGAATAAAGACTTCAAGAACTTTCTTTTCTAACGATGTGAAAGATGCATTTCCTCTTTTGCTCCGATACTCTGAAACACAAACAACATCCGCCCAGAGTTTGAAAAAGTTTTGTTCTTAAAAGGAAGAGGCCTTCTTCACTCAAAAAAATGCCAGTCTCTAATGATAAAAGTTGATAATATGCAGACAGAGAAACAATTCAATATTACCCACATTAGGATTTGAACATCATTTGGCTGATAGCATCAGTTGACATCCTGACAATGCTTCAGTATTTCATTATTGTCCCATTATGTGTCTTTCTAGGTATGAGATCATTTTCTAGCACTTCGAGTTCTCTAGGATACAGGTGAGACCTCTGTTTTCTGTTACAAAAATGTAATAATTTACTTATTTGTAGAACACTCAGTGAAGTCTGCTGCAAAAAGAACTCATTTCAAACAGCCAAGTTATTTCCTTTTTCACAACTGTAAGCTTCTCTACCTAAGGCTTGATGTTCAAATCATTTTGATGCATAATTACTTATATATTTGATTATTTTATGTATGTGTATTGTTGGAGAGGGCCAGAACCAAAGTCTTGAGGTGCACATACTTCATCAGAAAAAGCTTTGCATTAACTTTAGACTAACATTACCCATGTCAATCTTGGGGGCTCTAGACAGATCACAATGAGCTGGGCACAACCTAACAAATGTAGTTTTTTAATGGGTAAGTTTTGAGCAAGATTAATAACTGTCAGTAGAAGCAGTTCAGTCAAAAGTGGAGTGAGTGCACATGTTACAACTTTTCCCATAGGTGGGGTTCATAACAGATGGAAGGGTTAATTGGTATGGCCTCTAATAAGTTGGATAAAATTTTTAAAAACAATTAATTCAGTACAGTTCTATGTTGTTTGCACCAGACAAGCTTTTCCAACCTAAATACTCTTTACCAAAAACAATATGAATATTTACAATATGAATAGTGAAAAGAGAGTGTCAAACGTGGCACATTTATTTTTGAATACAAAGTAGAACCACAAATATAATTTTAATGTAGTTTATTTATACAATATGTACAGTATGCATTTTTATGAATCTGTAATTTAAAAAAATCACAAAAATGAACTGTTTTAAATTTACATGGGCTAATATGGAGAATATACGTCTCTCATTGTTTACTTTTTGAGGCTTAATTGCAACACTGTGTTAAAACTAACCCCGCCATGTGGAGGCTGTACTTTAGCCTGGCAGGCTCTTACTGCTAGCTCTCACGCTTGCATGTATATATGCTCAAAATTGGTGCTTATTACAGCCATCAAGAGGGTGATTAAAATAATACAGGTGTAAATTCTGTACTCAGTAATCAAAAAACACATATTGAAAATGGTTACAAAATGGTAAAAAAAAAAAAAATTTGGGATGAATCTGGAGAAATATCTGTTAAAATGCGGTCAAAATTCACAGCTGACACTGATGTTTAATTACATAAAAAATTATGTTATATTTTATCCTGCATTAGATTGTCTCCTACAGCTCACGACCAGGTTTTTAGTATATGCCATTGCTTTAGTTTAGATACATTGGGGGCTAGGGGGGTCCGGAGGGCCTTGTGGACTGAGTTAAGAAACACTACTTCATATTTTGTGTTAAAAATAATACCAGTAATATTCATCATTAATTTACTTCATATTACAATGATTGTTGTAATACAGGGCTTTTAGTAAACCAAGTCTGGACTAAAGCAATTAACGTATGTCTCACTATATGTATCTAAATGATAGTCTGTGTTCTGTGCTTTGTTCAGTATCACAGAAGAAGAGCCTGGCCCTTTAAGAGGGGATTTTGAAGGAAAGAGTGGGACCAAAATGAGCCGCACCTTTAGTTATCTGAAAAGTAAAATGTACAAGAAAACCAGGGTAAGTCAGTTCATTTTTCTTCATCATTCACTAATACTAATGTTGTACCAAATGCCAATTTTATGTTCTTTAGATACGATTCAACCAATATTTGTTTACATATATTATCACTGTCATTCAAGAACCTCCCCAAAATGGCAACTTTACAGGAGAAGGAAAAAATATATTTCATCATGAAATTTAAACACATTGTAAAGGACGCGATACAAGGTTTTGTTATGAAGAAATATCTTCCCGTAATGCGAGTATGTTAGGGATCCAGTACTTATTTTAGCCCTTTACAACTAAGGCAATCTTGTGGTGCCATGAGCATTTGTTTCTTCATTTGAAATGCAATTCTCTGTATTACTTCACAGTAAGGGCTGCATGAAGTGACAGATCTGACGTCAGTGGCTTTATTGTGTGAAAGCAAGTGAAGAAAGTCTGGTTAAAGCGTTAAAGTTCGTATCTGCCCTCGGCTCTGGAGGAAGTTAGGCAGGAAGATAGGCATGATGATCCGTGAGCTCAGCGTTCTGCCTCTAGAAGTCCTACACTTTTAGCGCTTCCTTTTCTGTATAATCAGACTACGTTTGGAAGTGAAACAGGCTCCAGTCTGCCTTTTTGGTGGTTAAATAAATTTATCTTGAGGCCTGTAGCACTTTCCATGAGAAAATACTTAACAGCACAAACCTCTCTGCTGAAACTATGACATTGCTTTTGGAGAAATGTCAGAGAAGAGCCACTTTTGGTTCCTTAAAGAACTTTTTAGTGAATGATTTTGATAGAAAGGCTGATTGGAGCTAAATGGTGGTGATTTTTGGTTTTGTAAATCATAATGGAAAAGCTCTATGCCATTTTGTCTGTACAGCCAAGCCAAAAATTATTTAAGAACTTTGCTTTTTAGGAATGTAAAAGTGGGAGGTACAGTGCTGTGCGAAAGTCAGAGACCCCCATTCATTAATTAAATTCAGTGCCATTCAGTTCAAGTCAGCACCAGAAAATATATGACTATATATATGTAGTAGACAAATATACCAATATTATATGTATTAGGCACAGAAAGATGTTTTTCCATTTAGCCAGCTGTCAAGCCGTTGCTTTTAAAGTTTTATGATGAACAGACCAATAGAAATGGTCCTGAATGACTTGTATGTATTTGTACAATCTGACATGAGTTATTTTCTGAATGCCGGAAAACTGAAAATATTTGAGTACATTTGCATTAATATCACCTGCCTCTACTTTCATAATGATGCATTTCGTTCTAAACTAGCTTGCTAAAGGTCTGCTTTGTCAAAGAGACTGAAAGGAGGAACAGCACCTCCTGTCCTTAGCTCATCACTTCCTCTGTAATCTCTGTGAAGGCCAATTGTGCGCCTGCTCTCAGTGTGAGTGAGCCTTTGAAGGCTCCAGTTCGCAACCGTTATGTTAAGTTATAGAAAGTTCTTTGAGCATGGACGCTACCTTAAGATACCTGGCTTTAAAGAAGAAGAGGTAGGCTAACTTTGAATCTCAAGCATTCTGTAGTGCTTTAAATGTTGGTTTCATGCAGTAAGGTGTCATTATTCCATACTCAGTGTAGTGGCTGCTAGCATGGTTCTGTGTTTTCACTTCTTTAAATAGGCTACGTTGTGGCATGTAGATCGCTCGGTCTTCAGTATCTTCATGTTGAAGGTTCTCCCTTTAAAAGGGGGAAGTGTCCAGATAGCACCTTGCTGAAAGTGACAGTTTAGAGAAGACGTGATAGTCTTTAGATGTTTGCTTTAGCGAACTGTTTGCGCTGGATTGGTCTGGCTGTTACTCTTTTTTTCTCTGTGCTGCAAAAAGGAAGTTGGTAATAGAGGAACTTGACAGTGGGGACATTTTTAAAGCCTCGTACTTATGTGTATCACAGTGCAAAATGTATTGACTCTGAAATCACCCTGACTGCCATTTTTCACCACATACTTGATTTTTAGAACATCTCAGTACACAAAGTGAGGGTTTACAGTAGTTTCACTAAACTGCTTGTCAATTTGTAGTATATACTGCTCCGGAGATGTTATGCAATGTTACAGAAAGCATACAGAACAAAAGTTTAAACACCCTCAGTCAAATTATATTTTGTTGATTTTCTAAGTGAAAATAAGTGAACACATCATCTACAGAGAACTTCTGTACTTTTTAATGCACAGTTACTGTTTATTTGCTGAATTTCACATATTGGGGGAAAAATAAAACTGTGGCTGTGCAAAAGTTACAGCACATTTAATATTTTATGCCTTATTTTTTCCATTTTTTGCATACAACTGAACTAATTGCAACTAATTGCATTGTCCCTTTTTTACCCCACTTCTACACTCCTCACACAGGAAAAAGACAAAGAGAAGAACCGGGAAAAAGACAGAGAAACTAAGGAGAAGGAGAAGAAGGCAGTGAACGGGCATCTGTTCAGCTCTGCGACTTCCGTCCATACAGCTTTGTGTCAGCACTGCAACAAAGCCCTAAATGCTAAAGATGCTGTCAGCTGTACAAGTAAGTCACTAGCGCTCAAAATCTTACAGTGCTTTCAGTTTCAGAAGCTTGCAAAAGCTCTAATGAATCAGATGTGCAGTTGAGGTTGCTTAATGAAACCTGTAAAGCTCTGGGTATGTGACGTGCTGATGCGTAGTTAGCTTTGGAGATATTTTGATATACTGAGATGTGTTGAATATTTAAAGCAGACTCTTTAGGCAGCACAAACTATTACATAATAGTTGTTTCCAGAGAACAGAAATTAAAATGAAGCACATCGGAAGGAACCTTTGCAGCATGTTTGCCACGTCATCAGTGGGGAAGTTGAAATCTTTGGAGCGTTACTGGGTAATGTTATTTAAACATGAAAAGCATTTTTCAAGGTGTTTTAACACACATTTAGGCCTATTTCATCCACCCACAGGGTTTGTATGTGGGATAAATAAATACATAAATAATTAAGTGCTTTATGCTGCAGATATTTAGGTAACTTTTCACACAATCCCCTATAAATGGCAACTTAATCATTATGTAATAGTTTTGTGATGCTAGTAAATAAAAATGTAATTGTTACTTGAAGATTAAGAAGTGCTACAATTTGAGTTATTAACTGTTGACTTAGTGTCATACAAATATTTAAAGCACTGTAAGGGTCCAATTAATAGTTATTAATATTTAAAACAGTATACATTAAAGACTTCATAGTGATTAATTACACATTAAGGAAAAGTTCATGCATTACAAAAGTTGCAAGATAAGAGTAAATAGCTACTGTATAATTTAAAACAGGATGTAGACAATTACTATGTATTTATTTATAACTCTTATGAATTGTTTTCATGCAGTAAAGTAAATGCCTAATTTTTCAAGATATATAATTTATAAAGTATGAGTATAAATTTTATTAACAAACTATAATTACTTATTAGGTTTCTACAGTTTAAAATATCATTTGATTATTTTAGTACATCACTTAAATTGTTTATACTTCATAATTAATTTATTAATTCATAAGTAACTTTATAAGTAGGTCTTCAGCAATATTGATTAGATAATAGATGAAGTTGCTGTTTAGTAGGGCCTGTTATTATCAAGTGTTATGTTTATTTTCAAATAGTAATAAATTTATATACAAAAATTTTGTTGTCCTTTAATTCTGATTAATACAGAAATAATGAGCTTTATTCTAGAGCTGTCACTATTGATTATATTAGCAACCGTGTAATCTAGCAAGTATTTTGACAATTAAATGATTAAAGTGCACCTTATACTTATATTTGCATTTTCATTTTTAACTACAGACATACATGCAGTACTAAAATCCAGCTGGTGTGAATCTCCGCTCTTTCAATGATGAACACAAAAAACGCTCTGAGTGCTTCCCCCATGTGCAGAATCTTCAGACTGCTAAACGCAGCTTTATAATGACCTGCTGATTCCTCAAGTTGATTTTCTTCTTTTTAATTGAGTAATCAGTTTCATTGGATAATCATGGCAGCCCTACTTTATTCTATCATAATTCCCATTTGATTTTAAACTCTGTTGTCAGCACAGGTTAATGGCTAAGATCTCTGGGCAGCATTAAACAGGAATGGAGTATTGTAGAAGTCTAAGGCTGTGGTGAGTGCCAGGGATCCAGTTTCTCCATTTTAACAGGAAAAGCACAGCAGAAAATCAGTTCATTTTTCAAGCCAACATGAAGCAACAGAGCAGAGCCAGAAAGCAACTCCACTAACAATAGGAACATCCACTGTTTGTTTTCCTGCACATGATACACCATAACTAAAATAGAATATTTTGTGTTTCAGTGATTTAAGGTTGGGTTAAAATGTGCAATATTCAGCCTCTTGAAAGAGGCGCCACTTTAATTGCTTGTGGCTTGGGCAATATTGGATTACAAGAAGGAAAACATTGCCTACAGTCTCCGCTGTTGACTTTTGTCAATGGATCCTTGTGCAAAATACATAAGATGTTGTGACATGATAATAGAAATGTTCCTTTAGGCTTGCACTCACCGAATGTTTGTAGCATCTACTTTAGAGCGAAAGCTTTAATTCCACTTTTAAATTACTCCATTTTTCTTAGTTGCCATTCAGAAGGTTCACTGGTTGCTGCAGATAATTTAAAACAGAATACTGAAATCAACAAAGCGTGTAATTTGACTGGCAGTTTCCAAACTTTTGCATATTACTGTACATACAATTAAAAAATAGGCTAGTCTTATGGACTGTTTCCTGGCCCAGGTCTTTACCCCAGTGTCAAAGGGGTAACGAGGCTAGTCCTTCTTCTACATCACCTAACATAGTCTCATTTCACAAGAGGCTTTCATTGCTTAACAGTAAAAGCATTTCTGGTAACCTCCCATTTGACTTCCTCATGGACCAGTCAGCAAAGTGACCTATGCTTCATTTAGAAAGTGAGTTTATTTTACATTTCTTTTGTAGTTTCTACTACAGAAGATTTGAACTAGTAGAATGTGGCTGAGCTTTATCTGTTGTTCCTGATCTTCAACCATAAATGACTGTTATGCTTCTCAATAATTGTGCTGTTTCCATGGTACAGAGGTTCTCAGTGCACAAGTTTCTGGTTGCATTGCTTTCCCCTTCCTTAGCCTAGGCTGAAATAGTTGCGCAGTTTTCCTTACCAGATGAAATGTAGTACAATTGAAGAGAATGGAAATCCACATAAATATTGTTCAATGTACAGAAGAGGTCAAGCTTGCAGTGTTGGAATTTATGTCCACGTTGCGGTGATGTATGGAACTTTGCAGCTTTCTAGATATAACTGTAAAAGGAGTTTCCAGTTCTTTCTTTCTTTTGTTCAAAAAGTGGGTGGGTTTTCAAATTTATTGATCATTCCAGGAGAAACCCCAAATTTTTCTGAACGTTTGTATTTTACAGTCAGAATAATTTAAGGAACCATATGTTTGTGGATTCGTAATCCATGTAATATCACTTATCAACACTCGTACAGTGCTGTGCAAATGTCAGAGACCATCCTTCGTTTATTTCATTTCCAGTCACAACGACCATTAAGTACAAATTAATTATTCATTTTTCAGGATCAGGACAAAAAGCAATAAATTATTTATTAAACAGAAAATTACACAGAAGCCTCAAGAACTAAATATGTTTTTTTTCAGCATTTATTACCTTTATTACAGCTTACATTCTTTTCAGGAGACTCGCTTTCAGTTTTTCAAAGAAATCTGCAAGGATTTTTTCCACACCTCCAAAGTTCAGTCTTAGAAGTTGGTGGCATTTTCTGCTTCTCACAATCTAAGTAATCCCAAACACATTCAGTGATGTTGAGGTCTGGACTTTGGGATGGTCAGCTCATTGTTCTGAGAACAACAGCATCTTCTTTGTTTCTTTGTTTATGTTTATCTGATATGGACAGTTTTGGTCCTCCGGGTCTTGCATGGTTGTTAAGAGTCTCATTTTCTCTACATATTTGGATCATTTTTTTCACTCTAGTTTTGAAAACTCCTGTTTTTTTTCACTTATTTTCCTTTGACTTCTCCTTCCTTATGCAAGTGGGATATCTTTATAGCTAATACGCTCAGAAATATCTCCTGAAAAATGAGTAACTTGCTCCGCATTGACTGGAAATGAAATCAATTAAAGGGTGAAAGGTCTCTGACTTTCACACAGCACTGTACATATTAAACTTGCAATAACAGATGATTTTTTTGTTAAAGGAGCTGATGTTACAGCTGTTTCAGCCAGATTCCCAACTGCCTCGGCTTGCGGGAGTTGCAGTCAGGGTTTTATTTGTGTGCTTGGTGGAGTTTCCTGGCTGGCACTGCCTTTACCACTTTGACTTTGAGCCAAAATAGGAAGCCAAGGACTATGATTTAAGTAAATGGCTCTTATTAAGGTTTTCCGACTGAGAGAGAATCTCTTTTGGATCTTGTCTCCTGTAGAACGTGGTCAGTAGGTGAAGAAACTATCCTTAGCTCAGCACTCTTATAGCTAATTCAAACCGCTGATAGATTATCATGGAATATTTGTCAAAGCAGATGAGTCAAACTGTATCTGTCCATGAAGGACTGGTGGTATAAAGTATTGCTCTTGTTTTAGGTTGCAGTGTTTGTGTTCACAAGAGCTGCAGAGACAACATCCCTGCGTGTACCAAGGGAAAGGTAGAATTTGTTCTTGTTTTTTCTATATGGATTTCTTAATTACAGACCACAAAAATGCTTCAAGTAACATTTTTGTGTGAAATTGCTTTTTCTGTGTCCTCTTTCCAGTTTCAAAAACAGCAGTTTCTCATGCCAGAATCGACCACCATGCCTGGAGTCACTTTAAGAGCAAAAAGTATGTGAGCTTGTGGTTTCTTTTCATCCAAGTGGCACAGCGCACAGTTTGGTGCAGATACGGATACTCTACTAAATTGGGCATTGCATTTTAATCTTACGTGTGTGTTGCTCTGTGTAGCTTCTGCGCCACGGGAGAGGCCCTGGTCAGCCGTCTTGTCTCCAGATGACCACTCTTTGGTGATCACCCCCCGAAGACACACAAGCATCATGCCTTTCAACAGTAGCAACCTCTCCAAAAGCATGTCAATCAGCAACATTGCTGTGTGAGTTTATAATATCCTTCATTTAAAAATGTGGTAACATCACTGTAGGGCAGTGTTAATAAGGCTACACGTCATATACATAAGCTCTTCATGACAGCTGACATAGACCTACACAAACATTCACGCTTATTCCTATAGACGTCAGTTGTCATAGATGTCAGCTGCCAGCTTTGATGTCAAGTTGATATAACATCTATATCAGGTGACATTGATTTTATTTCTGACATTTTGATATGTCATGACTCTTTATGGGGTGAAATGACAGCTTGCCAAGTTCAGGTTGGTCGAGCATTTTCTGTGACCTTAAAGTGAGTTTCATTTGACTTTTTATAAGATTTATAAGCTGTGTCAGTTTATCTGCATGGAGCCACTGTGATATATACTAAGCTACAACGTCAGTTGTAAAAATGTGTCCGGTCACTTCACCCAAAAACAGTGTCATGAGAACTCAGTGTCAGATAAAATCAGCATCACCTCACATAGGTTTTACGTCAACTGTTATAGGTATTATGTTTCCGAACATGCTTATAGGCCCTGAAAAAAATAAAGGTCATAACATAGATTAGGGCTGCTTAATATATCATTTTTAATATTAGCTTTTTACTGCTAATGTAAGAAAAGGCTGCAATATGTAAATACAGTATTTATTAAATCACCAAAAAATTTATTGTGTGCTGTGAACATCGACAACAATAAATTATTTTGATCAAAATGATACAAGCCAGTCTTTAGCCATGTCACATTAAATGGACACTCTGGCCAGAAACTACATCTGTAAGCATACTTATCCAGCAGTGGTGCTGCTGTAGTCTCTATATTTGTATGTATCTTGAAGGTGAGAGGAAAACCACTGCTTTTGAGGTGGATTTTGAAGACTCAAGAACTAGGTAACTGGTAACTGTCTTCAAATCATCGTTGCAATGGAGAGAATAAATTACTCTAACGACAGAAATAACTTGTCAGATGAGGAGGATAACAAATTAAAAGCTTCCTTTTTGTGCTAAATCAAGGTAGAATTGCTGTTTCCTTTTACGATTTTGTTTCTGAGGTAAAAGTTATATTAATGCTAGCTTGATTGTATTTAATAGCCTGTGAAATGTTCTAGGCTGAGAATTAGTTGACAACCCAGGGATTCCCAATTTCTGTAATGCATGCTGGGTTATATAGTGAGAGAACATTGAAGCATGCAAAATGATACAAAATCGTTAATTCTGTCAAACCAAGGAGGCTGAGGGATATAACGCTCCGCTACAGATTACTGCATAACACTACAAACAGCATAATAAACTCTAGTTGTAGGCCAGAATGACCCTTTCCGAGATCACAATCATAATTCAGTAATTCATAATTACAAAATGGTATTTTGTCCACTTGAGCAGTCCTATTAAAGATCATAAAGATAAATGCCTGTTAACTCCTTAGAGTTCAGTTAGGTACTGGATCTGCTTATAAGTAACTGCATGCTCATTAACATAACTGTCTCTTCGTCTTCCTCCAGATTTGATGAGATGCCCATAAAGGGCCTGAGATATCTGTCCCAGTCCACCGACTCTTTGCACAAAGCCAACAAGGTCAACGAGTCCACTGAGTCTCTGATAGATGAAGGTGAGCAGCCTCATTTCCTCTTGAACAGCCACTGGATCTGTTTCTGTTTCCTGTAGCTTCCACTTATCTTCCCAACAGCTGGACAGCAGGTGCAGACTTCAAACGAGCTGATGCCTGAAAATCTGTTTGACCAGGCAATTGAGAAGAGCAGGCTGCGAGCTCTTTGTGACATTTGCTGTTTGTTTCTGATTCACCATGGTGAGCTTTATTCTACACATTTATTAAACTGAAGTTTCATGTTTTGTTTTGTCCTGTTTTTTCATAGGAACAGAGATGATTGATGGGCAGCTGATGGGAGAGTTCGAGGCAGATGCTAAAGAGCTAGAGGCTGACTCCTGGAGCTTCACTATGGACAAGAAATACCTGAAACAACTAAAGAAGGATGTCATTAAGAGACAGGATGTAATTTATGGTAAGATCATTTATAACTGTTAATTTTAATAGCTGAATCAATCTGAGTAAAATCTGTAACTAACAGTTTAAACTGACATCCTCCATTTCTGGAACATTTTAGATACACAGTACTGTGCGAAAGGCCTTTACGTACATGATATTCATTTATCATGAGATATTTCTGAGGAGATTAGATATTAGATAATCCACTTGCAGGGGAAAGGAAGGGGAAAGTCAAAGGAAAATAAGTGAAAAAACAAGACTTCTAAAACCAGAGTTAAATAAACTGTTAAAAGATACAGAGAAAATGGGACTCCTAACAACTGTGCAAGACCTGGTAGACGCTAAAACTTTCCCCATCTCATTAACAGCACTTAAAGCTTTGAGAGAGAGGAGAAAATCAAGCTGCTTCAGATCTGAAAAAATCCACAAATGTTTCTTTTTGTCCTTCCACTGTGAGAAGACAGCTCTTCTGTGGGTCTGAAAGGATGTGTAGCTGTAAAGAAGTTGTTTTTGAGTAAAGGAAATAGACAAAAGAAGAACATTTGAAAATCAAGCAAAGAAGCTGTTGGTGTTGTCAGAACAAATTAGTCCAGACCTCAACATCATTGAATGTGTTTGGGATTACTTGGACCGTGAGAAGAAGAAAATGCAACCAGCTTCAACGACTGAACTTTGGAGGTGTGGAAAAATATCCCTGCAGATTTCTCTGAAGAGCTGAAAGCGAGTTTCCAGAGAAGAATTGAAGCTGTAATCAAGGCAATGAGCGGACCCACTAAGTACTTACAATAATATTCATATAAAATAATATATTATTTTTAGGGCTTCTGTGTTCTTTCTATTAAAGCTATGTTCCACTTTTTTCAGACTCTAAAGAATGAATTAATATTTAATACTAAATGGCTGTGGCTTTGACTGGCTTTGACTGGAAATTTAATAAATAGGTCTCTGACTTTTGCACAGTATTGTAGTATTAAGGCGTTTGTGTGTGACTGGGGTTGAAGGGTTCTGCAGTCTTTATAAACATTCAAAACATCATTTATATATATATATATATATATATATATATATATATATATATATATATATGTATGTGTGTGTGTGTGTATATACATCTACAAATGTATATACAAAAAAAAAAGATCAAAATATGACCTGAATATGTCCTCCAGCACTGATCTAACGCTCAGTTTCAGCTGAATTTGATCTGTTTCTTCCTTCTCAGCTGCTCTGTCTGGAACCATTATTTACTGGTTGTAATGTGAAAGATAAATAAGGTATACTAGATCAACTATTAATTAAAACTACAATCGCTTTCTTTTTCCAGAGCTGATCCAAACGGAAATGCACCATGTGCGAACGTTGCGGATAATGGCGGACGTATATGGTAAGGGCCTGTTGAAGGAGGTGCAGCTGGAGCCCCAGACAGTAGAGAAGGTGTTTCCCATGCTGGATGACCTGCTGGAACTTCACACAGTCTTCTTCAGCAGCCTGCTGGAGAGGAAGAAAGAGGCCAAGCAGGAGAATACCGATGGTGGCTTCGTTATCAAAAGGATAGGGGATATTCTCGTGAACCAGGTGAGTAGAGACAGATGGTCTGGTGATATTTAATTTATATTTGTGATAATGATGTAAATCCCTGACCTCACAATTTCACCACCGTTCAATTTAATTAGTTCTCAGGGTCCAGAGCTGAAAGCATGAAGAAAGTTTATGGCAAGTTCTGCAGTCGGCACAACGAAGCAGTTAACTTCTACAAGGAGCTACATGCCAAAGACAAGCGCTTCCAGGCTTTTATCAAGGTAATGCATTTACAATTTCACATTTATTTGTTTTTACCTCTTCAAAAACGAAAACAGCTCATGCAACCTCATGCAATCCTGTAAACTGTTTTAACCTGATCTTTCAGAAAAAGATGAGCAGCAGCATTGTCCGGCGGCTGGGCATCCCAGAATGCATATTATTAGTCACGCAGAGAATAACAAAGTACCCAGTCCTGATGCAGAGGATTCTACAGCACACTAAAGGTGAGTCTTTATCACAGAGCCTAAGGGCACTTTCATATGTGAGTCTCAGTACTCGAGTCTGCATCCAGGATTGATTCTGGGCTCATTTTGGGGAGGGTGACATCATCACAGGTTTGTCTGAAAGAGAATTTCTTTCAAACTGTGGATCGATGGCACAATCCTATACGTCACGTACAAACACTCGAACCACAATGAGCAGTGGTTATTTCTGGATATGTGGTGTGTCTCATGCTGAAACACCTGCAAATGACGCACCTCTCCCACTTGACAGGCTATCATAAGAAGTGTGTTTTGTGCAATGCTCTCAGCACTCTACATTTAATAAAACAAAATTGCACTTAATTGGGATGTTATCCATTTACTGAGGAATAAAACATTAGGGTAATTCATTCACACTGGATTGCACATCTACAGAAATAAAAGAATTGTTTGGACCATGCCTGAGAGAAGATGTGTGAGTGTAGTAAGGGAGAGAACTCTAACACTTTGGGCTCGAGTTGTGGGTAGTTTCAGCTTTAAGCTAGATGGCTAGACTCCCTATGATGAACAGAAATAGAACAGGGAGCAGGGGGGCAGTGGTGGGATGCGAAAAACTTTCTCTGGCTGAAACTAGTGTTGTACTCAAGACCATTAGAGGTGAATCAAGACCAAGACGTGGACACATCAAGTCCATATGTAGACCGAGACTTTGTAGTAGTTGAGTCCGAGTCAAGAGCAGATTAATATTTTTTGTTCAGAATATAAAAATAAACAGAAGAAAAACTGGAATTTCATTGTTTGTAGTTTGTAGTTGCAGTTCGTAGTAATTTATTATATTGTATCCTTAGTCCAACTTTGCATTCTAACTTTTGGAAGCAAATGATGTTTAGGTCATTCTTCGGTCGCTTTTTCTCCAAAACTTATTCAGAATCAATGAAATAAAAACATAGTAATAATAACATTCCAATCTCCCTTTAGGGGATATTTGAAGCTTGGAGCCAATGAACATCAACAAACAAATAATACCCAGTTTAAGCCATCATGAAAAGGATCAATTAGATCCTCAACTGTCAGTGAACAAATTTTATTTAAACATGTAGAGAATATGTTTTATTCTGTATGCAGCTGTTGTTGATATTTAATAGTCATAGAAAACAAGTTCCACTGCCAGTCACCTTAGACAAAGGCTTTGCACTCGGCTGGTCTCTAAAGCAATTTCCACATTTCCACCTTACCCGAGGTTGAGACAAGACTGAGTTCAAATTATGTTGAGTCACTAACAGAAAACGTATTTCTGGCGTCCATTTTTGTGCTGAATAAAAATAGAATCACTGGTATTTTTTACCATATAGCAGTCAGGATTGGCTGACACCACATGGATTCGCAGTGGTTGTGTGATGTATTTGCATAACATTTGCTGTGTATTTTAATGAGAGAACTTTGATAAATGAAAACATGAAAGCACTTCAGAATACTGCATAACATGAAAAGTAACATTAAACAGAATTCCTCAGTATTAATATTAATATGCCTTATATGTATCAGTATGGATTGTAGATGCATGATATGTATAAGTATTTTTCCATATATAATAATAACAATTAAGTTCCTGTTAACTCCTCAGTTATTTCATTTAGGTCCTGGATATTCCTTATAGCTAACTGTTCTGAACTCAGCTTGATGAGATTATAGATATTTATAGCAAGTTAGATAGGAAGAAGGAGGTGACATGGTCCTCCTCCCTACACTTAAAACAACTTTAAACAAGTAACAAATGAAACCCATCACTATGGCTTTTAGATGCAGTGTGGTGGACTGTTTATGGGTGAACCGGAGATAAAATTGTGTGCATTATGACATATTTTATGATGTTTTGTTGATTTTCTAAAGTGTAAACAAGTGAACACCTCTCTTTACAGGGAACACACTTAAATATGACATTTTCTACAAATGTCTTTGCATAATTTTTGTTTATTTGCTGGGTTTAAATTGGAAAAGCGTTTTAAAATGTGCCATAACTTTGCACAGGCCAATGTTAAATTCAGCAAAAAAACATTAATTGTGTAATAAAATGTGCAGAAATGTGTTCTCTGTAGAGGATAAGTTAACTTATTTTCACTTAGAAAATCAACAAAACGTAATTTGACCAGGGGCGCCGAAACGTTTGCATACGACTTTAGATTTTATGAACCGCACCCAAGTCCAAAAACAGCTTTTACACTTGACCAAAAGTACCAAAATCTCATTGCATATAGCCTTGAGTCCAGAAAAAGCCTCAAGTGTGAAAATGGCCTAATTCTCAAGCAGCCGTTAGAGACCTGAATATTAGCCAGATAGTGAGTACTCATCTCAGAGCCCACTCAACCGTCTGTGTTTAAATAACGTCACCGTAATTCTCCCTCTGTAAACATGCCTCTCTTATGGACAGCCCCACTGCTGCCCATATGAGGTGCTGTGTGTATACACCACACGTTTGCTGCAAACAGCAGCCAAGTGTTGCTGTATGTTAAGTAGGACGGCTGAAAGCGTTTTTGGTCAAGTTCCTGACGCGCCACTAGACAAAAGCAAAGCGAGATTTAAGAGAAGGAGCTTGCTGAAAACAACTTACTCGTCTTCAACTTGAAAAAAGAGGCTTATATTTTTTCAGGGGAGCTTTGTCTAGTCAAAACATGTTTAGGCTGAAACAAAACAGGCTTGTTACTTGTTTGAGGGGGCTTTTGATCATTCACCTTGTTTTATATGCGTGTATGTTTGTGTCATTGTTTTTTTTTTATCATTCACCTTGTGTTGTCTGTGTGTCTGTGTCTGTGTGTGTGCATGCATAAGCAGAGAATGAAGAGGACTATGAGGATCTGAGCCAAGCTCTGCAACTCGTCAAAGAGGTAATAGCTGCCGTGGACAGTAAAGTGAATGAGCATGAAAAGAAGAGGAGGCTGAAGGAGATCTATAGCCGAACAGATGGCAAGTCCATTATGCGCATGAAGAGTGGTCAGATGTTTGCTCGAGAAGACCTCATACGAGGCAGAAAGCTCCTGCACGACGGGCCACTGCAGCTGAAAAGCACTGCAGGCAGGCTAAAGGGTAAAAAGCCTCTCTTCTGTCAGGTTTCTATGCTTCGTGTCTGGTGTGTAAGAAAGAAAACAGTTGCTCCTGACAAATATATATATATATATATATATATATACATATATATATATATATATATATATATATATATATATATATATATATAGTTGGACAGAGGGCTGGATGATATTTAAAAGTATTTATCACAATATTTTCTTGTTAAAAAAAATCATGATTATGGATTATGTTGCCAAAGACTGTAGCCTAAAGGCAACAATCATTTGTGATAATAATTCTTGGTCACTAACAGTAGAAGAGGATAAAACATTAGACGGAAATATTGTTTAATAGTATTTTTCAGATGTTTTAAAATTAAATTAGGCCTAGTCCAGAATCTACAATCTAGAATCAGTTCTCTTTCCGATTATCGCCTGTAAAAAATGGGATCCAGTTACTCATTATTGTTCTTTATTTATTGGCCTTGTGCCGTACCCCTATTTCATATCTTTGAACGTCTAAGTAACAACAGCAGAAAAGCAGTTTGCTGGTACAGAAAAGTTGACATACATTGCTTCCTTTGAAACATATGCAATCATGCAATCAAACACATTGCAGTTTGCTCAAAATTAGTGCAAACCAATTTGGAAATTGTTAGAGAGAAATGGAAGAGCCCAGCTTTAGATAAAAAAGGCCAGCAAATTCAGTCCAATAAGTCTTACAGATTTCCAGAGATCCTCAGGATCCACATACTTTTTCATTGCCGTGAGCAGCATCAATGTACTGTCACAAAATGACTATGTGTCTATATGGGAGGTGAAGAAACTCCCATTCTCATTTAAATTAGCTAGGAACACAACATCTGGTATAATGTGCTCTGGATAGAATGAGTCAAATATGTTATTTACTCACAAAGTGGGACATAAATGCCTGACATGTTTGCAGCAAACCAAATCCTGATTTGTAACAGAGGAAATACCCACCAGCTGTAAAGCCTGGCAGTGGTAGTATTAAGGTCTCAAGCTACTTTCATATTATATTGCTGTATCTCGACAGCTTTCTGTGATTGAGTCAGCAGTCAGTACCACAGTGTTTCAGAGAAATTGAGGCCAAATGTCAAAGCTGAAAGTGACCAAAAATGGATCTTGTGTTAGAAAAAAGTAAAAAAAAAAAAAGTGACAAAATCCATAACAAATAAGATTTGTTTGTGGTTTGTAGAGGGAATGCAGCAAGTAGACTGCATGTAAGAACCTCATTTACAGTCATACATTATTTCTGACAAATGGAAAGAGATTAGGAGGTTACATTTATGCTTATATTTGTTCAATTCATAAAATTAAAATTGGTTCGAACATCTGTGAAAAAGAACGAAATCTTTCAGGAAGGCTGTGTACTTACACCACTCAATACACGTCTCATTCAAAATCTAATGGACAGAAAACTTTGGTCCACAAGGATTTTAGTAGTTTAATATTTTTTATTACATTTTGAAGAGCTTATCAGTGCAGTAGATGCAGTAATGCATTATTTTTGTCAAACATGTATCTGTTTTCTGATTTGCCTTTCAACAGATGTTCAAGCCGTACTTCTCTCTGATGTCTTGGTGTTCTTGCAAGAGAAGGACCAAAAATACGTCTTCGCCTCTCTGGTACGTTATTAGCTTTTTGGCTTACATTATTCACAAGAAATGTTCCCTTTTGATGCCCCACTGGTGCAGCTTCAGCATTTGTATGCTGTAGAATTTACCCAGTCATGTAGTTAAGCTGTGTACTCAGGTTGCTAGTTTCAATAAAGATGCTGACTTTGTGAGGCTCTTGGCAGACTGAGAGCAATCCAGCAGTTATACAAGCGTTTGCTATGTTTTCTTTTTTCATGCCTCTGTCAACTGCAGTGATATTTTTTAGAGCTTCAGTGTATCTGATTTATTGCCAAAATGGCTCAGTACAACTGAAGGAATTTCCCTGCTTTGCACAGTTCCCTTGCCTGTCAGATCGAATATGTGTATTATTATTTTTTTTAAATGTTCTTATAAAGTATAAGTGGTAACATATTTTGCTAACAATTATAAAACCATATCAGGATTCTTACTAATTACACTGTAATTTGTTGTAATCATGCAAGCATACCTATTTAACTTGCTTTGGAGGTTTCTTGGTTATTCCTATGTTGTCCCACACTAAAAAAAAAAAGAGTAATGCTGAGAATTTACTCGATTATAAATCTGTGTGTGTAGGGAACAATCAAAAATGGGGTGAAATTTAACACATTTTTTATGTAGTTAAACAGGTTCAAGCAAAACATGCTTTTGGCCACCTTCTTATAGTCCCATAGCATTGTCATCTGCAAATGTCCACAATGAAAGGACAGATATTGTCAAGATTCGCCAATTAAATCATTTGATTCACACCAGTATTATTTTAATCATCCTCTTGTTGTCTGTCGGCAGGCTAAAGTACAGCCTCCATATGACGGGGTTAGTTTAAACATGCTATTACAACTACGACTTCCAGAATAAACAATGAGAGAAGCCTGTATCCCCCATACAAATTTAAAACAGTTCATTTTTTAAAAAAAATTCACAAATTCATGAACAAAAAGTGTTACAGGTGTCATGGAAATAAAATGAATTTCAGTTTTATCATCCTGATATTTGTAGTTCTACTTTGTGGCCAGAAATAAATTTGACAGTGTTTGATACTAATTATGTTTAGTTAATGCCTATATATTTATGTATTTATGCTGGAAAGCTTGTCTGGTTCCAACAAACTAGAATTGTATTCTAGCCAATGATATAACTAGCCCCTCAGTCTGTTAGAGTTAGCCCCACCTATGGGGTAAGTTGTAACCTCTACACTCACCATACTTTTGGCTGATCGTTCTAGACTCTGGAAACAAAGTTTTCATTTATAGCAGAGATGACATTGTTGTGTAAAACAGCTATTAATGTTTCTCAAATATTTTCAATTATTTTGCAAAACCACAATGTGTTAGGTGAGTTAATGCGTGACCCGCTCTACCCTACATCATTACCACATGAATAAAATATATAATATATCAATACAGTTTTGTCTTTCAGTTGACAGAACAGAAACAGAAATTGTGTTATTGCATGTTTTTTTTGCTCAATGTGTACCTTTTCTTTCTTCCCTCTCCCCTACCCTTTCCCTGGCTCCACCCTCCATATTCTGTTTTGTCCCTCTCTCTCCTCTCTCTCTGTCTCTCTCTCTCCCCCTCTCTCTCTAGGACCAGCGTGCCACTGTGATCTCCCTGCAGAAGCTGATAGTGAGGGAGGTGGCCAACGAGGACCGTGGCCTCTTCCTCATCACAGCGGGCATCGAGCGGCCCGAGATGGTGGAGGTTCACGCCAGTTCCCGAGAGGAGCGAAACACCTGGATGCAGCTCATCCAGGACGCCATGCACTCTATGTAAGTAAAGCAAACTCTGGGGCTAATCTCAAGGAAATTAGCATTGGGTTTAAATAACATCCTCTTGTGTTTTTGTACCTTTTAGTGCCTTATTCACTGTTTATCTCTTTATTTTTTGATATTTTGATATATAGCTGTGTTTGTTTTGTTCTTTAAATTCTTTAAATAATAAAATGTTTAAAATATTTTTGTACCATAGTACATATACAGCTTTGGAAGTGAGAAGTATGCACAAACAAAAAATGTTTTTCTGCCTAACCTGGCAACTATGCATGGTTACCAGTTGTAATGATATACAAAACCCAGTCATAATCATATTGTTAAGCAAATTTTAATCATTGTGATAACCATGCATAATTACTGTTTTACTTTACTGTTTTAAAAAGTCACAGTGAAAATAAATAGTCTGTAAAGCACATGCCAGGACATGTTACAACAGAGTTATAACAGTAACTATATTGGGCAACACGTTATCAAATAGTTATAATACTCATTATAAAAAATAGTAAACAGCATAAAGAAACAAACAAACTACTGAAGAGTTACAGAGAAATACTGAAGCGTAAATTAAGAGGCTGTCAGTATAATACCTCAGGGGAACAATTTCAATACATATTATTGCTTTTTAAAAATTTTCACGATATTTTAACAAACTGGAATAAATTTGGTCACTAATATTGTTATAGGACATTTTCATACCGTTCCATCTGTGCTGGCTGCATGCTTTTGCATCTGATAAAAGGATTACTGGCAAAACAAAGTAGCTTGCAACATGAACATGAAGCGAGCAGTTTGATTTAATCTGTGCTTGTGTTCACAGAGAAAAGGATGATGATGAAGGTATCCCTAGTGAGACAGAGGAGGATAAAAAGCTGCTGGAGTCCAAAGCAAAAGAGATGAGAGGTGAGATGCAAAGCAATGCCATGATAATTTAGAGGGGCTGTTTGTGTTTTGATTCTTCGTTTAGTGTTGTTGTGTTTTAGTTTTTTAAAGTTTGTGCTGATTCACCTGTATTGGCACTGACAGGCTTCAAGTCTGATTGAAAATTCAGCTGCAGATCTAAAATAACTGGTTTATCCCCCCATTTTCTCTTTCTCTCTCTCTCTCTATCTCTGTCTCACATTTTCTCTCTCTCCCCCTCCCATACTTTCCTTCTATTCCTCCTCTCTCTTTCTGTCTTAACTCTCTCTATCAACCCCATTATCTCTTTCTGTCTCTCTCTCTCTCTCTCTCTCTCACTCTCTTATTCTCTCCCTCCCCATCGAATTCTGTTTTTAATTCACCCTCTTTGTATGTCTCACCATTTCTCTCTTTTCTTCCTCTATCCTGTTCTCTTTTTATCCCTCTCTCTCTCTTTACTGTTCCCACTCTTTCTATCCCTCCTCTCTCTTTTTCTCTCACCTCTCTTAACCTTTTTCTCTCTCCCCATCACATTCCCTCCTTTTATCTCTACTCTCACTCTCTTTCACCATTCTCTTCCCTTTCTTTTCCTCTCTCCCCCCCTCAACCTTTCTCTTTCTCTCTTCCCATCTCATTTTCTCCTTGTCTTTGTCTTTAATACTCCTTCTCCATTTCTCTTTCTCATTCTTTTTCTTCCTCTCTCCTTCTCTCTTCCCCCATCCTATTGTCACTAACCCCCCCACCCCCTCTCTCCTCCTTTTCCAGACATGCTCCGGAGGAAAGATGATCAGATCCTGGCTCTGCTGCAGGAGAAGATGAAGCTGTTTCATGACATGTGTGAATGTACCTCCTCTGATGAGAAGATGCTGTTCAGGGCCTGTAATGATGACATGCCCAGAGGAGAGCCCATCATGAAGGAGGCCATTAAAGAAGGTGACAGGAACTATATAAATAATTTAAGAAAGTGTTCCTGTACTTTAGAATTGTAACTTCTACATTATTTATCGGTTGGCAATTTTTTTTACATGAAAGTAGTCTCCCTTGTGGCTTCATTAGACCTCATTTCCACAACTAAATGTCCTCCAGGAGCCTTTGGTAACTCACTTAATGTAATGCGGTTAGTGACGTGCGTGCCTGTGTGGGTTTGTGCATGTGGCAGTGGAGATGTTGCAGACGCTAGTCAACAGCAGCCTGGGAGGGGCCGTGGGCCAGCAGGTGGTCAGCGCTCCGGGCAGCACAGTGTCCGTGTGTTTGCCTCGCAGAGCCGAAACCTTCGGAGGCTTCGACAGCCACCAGATGAACATCTCCAAACGTGAGACCTTGCTTCTGCACTGTGTTAACACTCACTCTGTCTACTGGTTGCATCACTGTGCCTTGTTCGCTGCAGTTTTATGCTAATTATATTCATTGTTTGGGGAATAATACTGAATGAATATCAAGCACAAGTGTTTGTCATCTATTTGTCTAATTAAAAATGCCAGAAATGTTTGAAAATCTTGAGCTTTTAGCCCTTAAACTGCAATTCAGTTCATCAGTTTCATAACTGGATAACATACATAATAATTTCATAATATTAACCAATACCAATTTACCCTTTTACAGAACTCTTGACTTGTATCTTTTTCACATTTTGCACTAACCGAAAAGAATATGCATTGAATTTGCTTAATTAAAATGTGTACAGCATTTCCACATGAATAATTATATTACATATTTGATATATTTTGTATCGCAATATACTTAGTTTTGGCAATGACTGTGTAATATATTGCATTCAGGTGGAAATGATGTGTACATTTGAACAACGTTAACACAGTGCTTCATGTACTTCTTTGCACATTTGCAGACCTTAGTCATATCCCACCTGACTTATATTGTTGTAAATGCCCTGTACATTTAGTTAACATATGGTGGATATGCGTATTTTGTGATAGCCTGAATAGCTGTTATATATTGTATAATATTGTATTTATTTGATCTGTTTACTTTTAGTATTTGTTTACTAATAGGGTTGTGACAATTGTTTGCTTACAATGGATTACTCGTTTTAAGCCACACCAGCAGGATATCACACATGCACTTATGTTTATGCTTAAAAAATGAATGTATATGAAATAAAATTTAATGTTTGCTGTGGTTACTTAATTAATCTTTAAAATAATAACTAAGCTGACTGCTAATATAATCAATAATGATAGCCCTGTTTACGATTAGTTTTCAGAACACCGATAGTAAACAAATCTCCATTTATGTGTCATTGTAAAAGCCCATTAAAATAATTCTGATTCTGAATAACAAGTCTTTAGACTAATAACTGAATGATATGTCAGTTGAGTGTAATTATAGTATCCATGGTAAATATGAGTTTCTCACTGCATTTTCCTCTATTTGCAGACGGAGATAAAGAAGAAGGTGAAGACCTGAGGAGGACAGAGTCTGACAGTGTTCTGAAGAAGGTGAGGACCTTTTCACTCTGCCCTTTTCATAGACCCCTCACTCCACAATCCACACGTCCACTCGTTTATCAACAGCTACTAGGTTAACCAGAATTTGCAGAAGCACACGAAAACACACCCACGCACAGTGGCATTCAGAGCCATTCGGCCTTGCACCTGTTTATTTTTCCTGTCAGGTCTAATAGCTAAAGGGAGTCAGAGTGGAATAAGAGCTCAGTGAAGGAAGAGAAAGGAATAAGCGTGCATTAGGAGTATGCACTGCAGCCTGGCTCTTTAGTGCTCATAATGAGCAGCGCTGTGGCGGGCCGGCGGCCACCCGCCTGTGGGAGTCAGCCTGATTAAAGGAGTCTCGCAGCTGGACTCAGCTAAGCTACGCTCTCTGCTTTGTCTTCTCCACAGGGGGGAAACACCAACCTGCTGCTGCTGCTGAAGAGGAACAGTGAGGTAACACTGGCGATCATGCTTCTCTTCCAATGAGACAACTTAGCAGTAGTTAGTGGTTCAATGGATTTAGCAGCCTAACAGACTGAAAGTGGCAGTTGGAACAGGGTTGTGTACATTTGCATGTACTTGGCTGGTGTGTTGACCCAAAGTTTGCAGTTATTATTGTCATTGTGCTAAACATACAATTTATTATGCAGCAGTTAGTTGAGATGGCACAATCTGCTTGGTTGAGAAGTGTTTAAAAGTGATGTTTTTTCACAATCACTGTATTCTTCCACTCAGTGCTGGTGGTTAAGTAAGAACTCGCTGACTGTTACTAAGTTTCTACTTTAGCACAAACAAAAATAGAATATGGACACAGTAGATAAGTATATAAGATAATATGTGCTCAGGACAGTTTGATACAATTAATTTCATACCTGTAGTGCCTTTCTCAGGTTTGATTTAAAATTGTAAGCAAAAGCTTGAACGCACGGACAGCCGTGAATCAGCTTGCCTATTAATCGTGGCATAGCAGGTTTCATAAAAAAGTAAACCTACCATTATTGAACTCTTCTGGCCTACTGATGACAGCTGATCACAGGACAGTGAGTGGGAGAGGGCCAAACCATAATAGCACAAACAAGCATCATTTCTGATGTAAGCATCATTGTTCCCAGTGAGATCACTGCATTTGAAAGCGCATTAAGAATCTTCAAGTTCCCTTTTTTCCTCCCACAGGAGTGCATTTTAAGTGTGTGCGTGTGTCCTTCTAAATGTCATTAGGATTAAAGGATAACATTTGTTTTTCTACAGCAGGTCCTAAGCAGTGTTACTCACCTCCATGATCTCCTCAACTCGCTGCAGGTTTGTGCTGAATCTGTTATATAACCCACAAGTGTTTTAACACAAGTCTGACAGACAAGAGCCCACATTTCCCTTTCTGCATTTGAAGCTTTGGTAATAATCATAAGTAGGACAGTAGCTAATGGTTATCTCTATAATCTATAAACTAACTGATTGTGATTAGATTAGTTGACTAATCTGACTATTATGCGTATTTCAGTTCCTCATCTTTTTCCACCACCTTCATTCAAAGTACTGACTGTGCAGGAAGCAGTCTTTTCTTTAATGGTGAATGGTGAAAGAAGCTGTATCACCTCCTACACTTCCTGTAGTGGATTGCAGTTTCAACCCAAAAATCTTTTGAACACTATTAAAATTAAAAGCTTTACATAATCTAATACAGGGAATAACAAGTACAGCTATTACAGGGGGTTTGCAAATATTATGAAACTTCTTGAAACTGAAAAACTTGAAAAACTACAGGGACTGAACATGACACAGGAACTACTCATTGGCCAGTTTACCAGAAACACCTGCCATATAGGTGCACTCTGTAGTTTTGCAATTACTCACTGTTGGCCACCTGCTGCACAGTTTATCAGCCCCACTCGACCCCATCCATCAACAAACTCCTGAATTTGTGTCATCATTCTGTAGTCAGCGTCATGCCCATATGAGGAACTCTAAGCTGGTTTTCTTTGAGAAAAATGAATGGTGTTGTTAAAAACTACCGCTATTGCACTCTAAAATGTTCCAAAGCCGGTTTGTCTGAATTACTACATCTTGAAGGAGTCGAAAGACAACTATTGCTATATACAGCCTAACACTGCTGCACATTGAGTTTATTTATCATATGATTGACAAACTCAACAAAACATTCCACACAAACCGGTACGCTTTGTTAAATACAGTAGTTTAAACGCTTTGGCAGTTTTAGGATGCAGTTTGAGCTGCTAAAGGTAGACTCACTTTGTGACATCATTTCAGTATACAGGAGTGTTAGCATGCTTATAACATGTATGTAGCATCAATCATATTTTGACTGCTAAACAACCTCGTAAATCAGAGGATGCAGTGACACTCTGGGAAAAAATGCACACATGACACAATTTATTGGCTTTGGAACCTTTTATTTTACCACAGGGCACCACAGAGGGGTTTTTTGGAAATCTAATAGTGAGGCAGCAGGTGGACCATGTCAATAAAAGACTATACTGTAAAGGGTTAGATTATGAACAGCGAGTAAGGTTTAAGCTTTGTGATGGTTATAAAGAGAGATAGAACTTTACACTGAGGAATTGGAAAACTTAGATCAAGATTTTTTTTTCTGTCATTTAATATTGTATTTCTTGATGAAAGGTTTAACCACTGTTGAAAAAAGGTTTAACCACAGTTGTTACACAGATATTACAAGAAGAATTTTGGCAGTTTTAATTTTGCAATTTCAAATAGTTCCTTACTGCAGACATGCAGGCGGCTTGTTAACTTGAACAATGAAATCGTGCCTTACAAACTGTACATAATGTCCGTTTACGTCACCTCCAACGGTGGCGTAAATGAAGCACAGTGGGATTAAGTAGTCTTTAGCGAGGATCTGAGTTTCATAAGCACTGTAAAAAATGATAGAATGTTTTAACTCAAAAAAAGTAACTGTTGAGTTTATTAAAGTTAAAAAAAAGTAACGTTGAGTTTTTTAAAGTTCTAATGGTAAGCTAAGAACTTGTTTTACAGTGATAATGATTTACATTCTTTTAACTCATTATATGAAGTTCAGTAAACTTTCAGTAAACTGAAAGGTTACTTACTTTTTAAGTTAAAGCTAACTTATCGCTGCTGTTGGAAACAAAATCTCCATTTTTCAGTTTTTGACATCAATGCCTGTTGCCTTTTATATTGTCTGTAAATTTCACCACGACTGAACCAAAAGAAATGGCCCAAAGTTACTACAAAAAAAAGTCTGGTTCCACTGACTTACATTAAAAGAAAAGTATGTTTCTTCTTTCTCCTGTAAAGTAACCATTTTGGAGATAAGAGGTTTTGTTCTGACAGCAGCGAAATGTAGCCAATATATACACTGATCAGTTCTGATAACGTCCTGCACTGTACTGGTACAGCCCTTCTCCTAAAATGTACCTTTGTTTATGTGTGTTGTGCAGGCTGTGGTTGTCCAGCAGGACACCTTCATCGAGGACCAGCGGCAGGTCCTGACCGAGCGGCCCTCTTCTCGCCCCTCCTCGCGGCCGCCGTCTCTGGTGGAGCAGGAGAAACAGCGCAGTCTGGAGCGCCACAGACAGGAGGCGGCCGCGCTGCAGCGCCAACAGGCCGCACACGCTGAGGAGAGGAAGCGCAGAGAGAAAGAGTGGGATGCTCGGGAGAAGGAGCTGATGGACCGGGAGTCAATACTCAACTCCAAAGAAGATGAGGTGCAGAGGAGGCGTAGGGAGCTGGAGGAGGCACGGAGGGAGCTACAGGGGAGGAAAGAGGATTATCAAAAAGACCTGGAGAGGCTGAGGGACTCTCAGAGGAAGCTGGAGAGAGAAAAGGAGCAGATGCAGAGGGAGATGGAGAAGCTGGAGTATCTCAGGGAGACAGAGGTGAGTTATAGGAACTATTCAAATGAGATTAGTTTTACATGGGGAGGTCAGGGTCGTTATATTATCTCTGTGATTTTAGTTCCTTCTGAATCGTCATGTCGTTAGCTTTGTATGGACTGTGCAGTTAGTGGTGAGAAAGTAACCAACAACTTCAGTTCAGAAGGTGGACAGTATGGCAAAACTCTAACATCAAAATCCGAGACATTTTCTTGATACACAATATGATTCATGCCCGTGCCCGTGTAGTGTTTTAAAGCAGCCATTTTCAACTGTTTGCAAAAAGGAACATGTACAAATGTGAGAGTCTGAGATGAAAGGAAATCTCAGTGTAAATAAACGTTATGTTTGACAAATAGTGAGCGCTGATTTTTACAGGAGCCAGGTTTGACCTACAGACAAAAGAATTTTGTTTTTTAAATAATAAAATTAGCAGTTTTGAAAAATGAATATTACTCAACGTTTGTTTTACCGACTTTAAAACAAACTGTTGAAATAATCCCAGGTTATACACTCACTGGCCATTTTATTAGAAACACCTACCTTGTACTTTGAATCTCTGACCAATTACGAGGTCCATCTACCTTTAGGTCCACTATATACAGTCGTACAGGAAAGTCTCGCAGCGATCAAATGTTTTGTTAATTTTCTAAGTAATAATGAGTTACTAAGTAATTTTATAGCACCATTTCTACATTTATTTATAGATTAACATATAAGAGAAAAATAAAAAATAAGATATAAAATTTGCCATAACCTTTGCACAGGACACTTTTTTTTTGTTTTTTTTCCCCAATATGTTAAATTTAACAAGTGAACAGTAATTGTGCATTAAAATGTAGAGGATGTGTAACTTATTTTTACTTAGAAAATGAACAAAACATGTCATTTGACCAGGACTGCAAAACCTTTGCATATGACTGTAGGTGAACAGTTTCAGACTATTGCACAATTTATCAGCCCCTTCTTCTGCTTTCACCCTTGGTCATTTTCTGACCACTGGACTGCTGTTGACCAGATATTGTTTGGGTGGTGGTTCATTCTCAGCAAAGCGGTGGCAGTGAGATAGTAGTGTATGTGGTGCTGGTAGTAGTGTACCAGACACAGCGGTTTTGACAGCAGACCACCACCCAAAATATCCAGCCAAGAGTGGCTCTGTGGTCAGAAACTGACTACTGATGAAGGACTAGAGGATAGCTAACACAAACTGTGCATCAACAGGTAAGCTACTGTCTTTATCTGTACACCAGGCAAGGTGAAGCTACAAGGAAGGGTTACTAATAAAGCGGTCCCCTGTGAATTGATTGGTGTGTCAGTTTTAAAGAGAGTTCCCCGAATTTTTCCACCAATTTTTCCAAATTTCTGCATGATTCAGTCATTGAGATGTAAACAAAGTCATTCAGAGTGGTTTGATCTGAAATGGTTCATCATAGAGAAACTTAATGATTGGAACTAGAGGTGGCAACATCTACAGCGAAAATACAGCCATTTTACTTATTATCCAAAACCATCAGTGAATCTACACACATCTTCTGAGTTTTTATATGTAAAGTTGATAATGGTAAAAAAGTAGTAAGTTTTATCTGGGTACTATTTTGCCTTGTAGCACTCTGCATACACCTCTCCACCATTAATTGGAGGCCAAAATCTTATCAAAAAAAATCATAAAACAGTGCCTCACGCATCAGGCAATGCATTCATAACTATTTAACCCCATAACATTCTGTGAGGGAGCTCTTCGAGGCATTAAACCTTTCAGACGTCTGGTTCCTGTTATTTCCAGCTCAAACCACTCTGACTTTGACTTTGTTGACAACAGTTTAATTATACAAAGTTTTTGAAAAAAAGGTAAGTTCCTTTTTAATATGGTAACATTACTGCTCATATATAAGTATATATAAAAAATCCTGTCTGAACAGTACTTTAGAAACTTACAGTGCCACTGTTTCTGGAAAAATCAATGCGCTTTGTTAGTACTTTCAGCTTTTTCTTAACCTTGTTGGCATATTGATTGGTGCACGGTCTAAGAAACCCATTTGTTATTCATCGTTAGAAATGTTTTACAAAGCTTTAAATTATTTATACAGTATTACACACGCCGCTGACCCCCAACCTATGAATAGGCAAAAAAAGAGGTAACCAAGCAAAATACTGCAGACCAAAAGAGCTTTAACTGTGATTGGTATCGATTGTGTCTGTTCCAGAAGCGCGTGAACAGGACCCCCTCCAGTACCTCGGAGGATTCGTTGAACATCCAGAGCAGCAGCTCAGTGGAGCGGGACCTGGGGGAGGCCGAGCTGTCCGCCAGCCCCAGGAAAAACTCCCTCTCCAGGATGGACTCCAAACACAAGGGCCGCAACCTCAACCCCTTTTCCCTGGGTCCCAAAGCCGTGAGCACAGACGGACATAAGCAGGTCCAGAGCCGACTGCTCCAGCTGGCCAAAGCCAAGGACAAGAAGGACAAAAAGAAGAAGAAAAGCAAGAGCAAGCCCTCTCAGGAAGCAGGTAACCTCAGCTTTAAACTACATGTAGATCAGCAATCAGGAACGGCAGATAATAGAACTTGTTTGTACAGCAGTTAAATTTGCTATAATTTTCTTCTCTTTCCACTGAAAGCTTGCCAAACACTGTCTGTTACACTATTTGTCATATTGTTACTATCATACTAAAAGCTTGTATATCTGACATGATAACTTTAAAGGATGAGGAAAAATGTGTTCTAAATTTTAATATACATTAAAAGGGGCATTCAGGCCCAAAACTAGAATTTAACGATCTTTGTTGTGTTATAGGCTATTCTGTAGCACAGCGTTGTGAACATCAGCCTCATAATTTTGACAAAATTCACGATTTTATATTCTTTTCATGTTCTTCATATGTGTTTTCATTCTTCAGTGTCCTCTTACTACAATACCCATCATGCATCACGCAAATGTATAACACATTAATTTGGAATCCGTGTGTCGGCCCGTCCTGACTGCCTTATCCATAGGCTAGTTTACAGTGATTTAATTCTTATCCAGAACAAACTGGTGACCAGTGACATGTTGATGACAAGTTTTTTACCCTTTCAAAGCATAAATCCGAAAGAAACCAAAGTGAGGTCAGATATCTGGATAGTCAGCTACCTTGTTAACTTTAGCTTTTAGCTTTTTTGGTAAATTCAATAAAATCACTTCTTTTATCATCACTCGGAAATACACTGAGGGCGATCCTCATTTACAGTGTAGCCAAGCATGCATGTATGAATATAATGAAAAGTTCTGAAAAATACAAATGGAATTTAATCAAGGAAAATCAAGGAAAAGAATGCTAAAACGTATGTAATAAAAACAAATAAATACACACATTTTCTAAACTGCTTATCCTTCTGTGTCACTGGAGCCTATCCTAGCGGTCATTGGGCGGAAGGCAGGAAACACCCTGGACCGGCCCCCAGTCCATCACAGGGCAGACAGACAGACATATACGTTTACATCTAGGGGTAATTTAGCATGTCCAATTGGCCTGACTGCATGTCTTTGGACCGAGGGAGGAAACCCACGCAGACATGGGAGGAACAATTTAAACTGTAAAATTAACACAAAAACCAACTAGAATAATTAGAAACATCTAACAGCCAACTAAAATTATTAGTAAAATAATACAATTAAATTAAAAATACATCAGTAGTTAAGAAGCTAACAACTAAAATCAAATAAATCAGGCTGAGTGGAGGTGGTTAGAGATTAAAAGTTTAACAGCATCCTCATCTGATAATAATAATTATCCATTTTCGCCATTGTAATGAAGACAGCTGTAGTTTTCCCCTCCTTTCTCAAGATACATCGTCTTTAAACAAAGAAATCTCACTCTGTAGACTACCGCAGCACCACTGATGCATGTGAATAGACATATTTACAACAGACTCAAGTTCAAGAGGCTTTATTGTCATTTCAGCTATATACAAGGATACAGTGTAACAATGTATCACTAGCTACATTTTTTATGTTGGTTGGAGTGTCCCTTTAATTTTATCCAAAAAAATGTAAGTCAAGTTTTGTCATGACAGCAACAATATCTTTTTAGGATTGTTGATTTACTGGAATTTTTCGCTGTCAACACAGCCAAGGTTATTTGTTTTTTCACTTCAATCAAGGACTTTCTCCTAGATAGAGACATCAGCGATGATTACCTGGAAATTTAGCATCTGTTGAGTGTTGATTCAGTTTCCCTGATTGTAAAGGTCACCTCTGCCATCTCTGTACAGAATCCCATCTGCTGCCACTGACAGAGCCTCCGCTGGATGGAGAGATTTTCTTCTGCTGACTTGGCCTTCACTTTCAATCAGCCCACAATTCCCTTTTTCTCTAAGCTATCTGCACCAGCTGAATGTAACTCTACGCAGGATGCCTGCCAAAGTGCCCCCACCGCGTCCCTGGCACATAGTGCCACGCTAATTAGGGTGAATTTGCCCTGAAACCTTTCCATGTCCGGCATATGCGTGCGTATATGCAGGGCATGTTTCTGTATGTGCAATTCACCGAATGACACTCACTTTTGAATGTTACCAACTCAAATGGACTTCACAAATCTGACCTCAGTTCACTCTATTCACTTGCCCCTAAAATCTATAGTTCTATCCCAGATGACAAAATATAGGAAAGGTTTTTGAAATGTCTTCCCTTTTATTAAAAGAAAAAATTAATAGTCTGTCTGTGAGTGTCAGAATAATAGTAGTTAACTAGAAGGCCATTTATTGTCATCCTCTTTTGATTAGACAGCTGTCTGAGAACGCTTTCCTTCTGGAAGAGCTTTGACTTTCGTTTTAAACCCACCAAGCACTTTACACAATACAGCCAGTATGATCACGGTCACCAAAATGACAATCGGTGCAGACTTCATGGACCCAAGCAAGTTTTTTAGGGAGATTCCATAAAGGGGAATTCCACCAATTTTTCTAAATTTCTTCACAAGTCAGTCACTGAGATGAGACTTTGGTGTGAACTGGTTCTTGTAAAGAAACATACTAACTCCTCTTCACAGTGGTGGTGATAGGAACCAGGGGTCACGGTGTGTATAACAAAAATATTGCCATTTTTTATCCAAAATAATCAGTGCACCTACACATCTTATGAGTTAATGTATCTAATGTTGATAGTAAAATCGAAACTAAAAGAATTGGCTTTCTTTTTGTGCTACTTGGCCTCACAACACCCTGCATGTACCTCTCCGCCATGAATGGATTTGAAAAAACATGTTTTAAAGCAAAACTTTTACTCAAAACTATAGTAAAACAAAGTCTCAGCTTTCTGTGAGGGAGCTTTTAAAAGGCATTAAACGCTTCAGACGTCTGCTTCCCATCACCACCACTGTAAACAATTCTGAATATTCTCTAGAACAGAACATTTCACATAAAGTCACATCTTAACCATTTTAAAAATAGTGGAATTCCCTTTTAAATAATGGTGACACCCCATGTTAGACTGTATTAAGAATTCATAACAATGTGTAGTCACAGTGGAGGTCATGCTTGTAATCTTGTTGTAATTCTAGCGAAAAAAAATCACAAATGCTAAAAGACTCAAACTGTAAATATAATAGGAGTCATAAAAGTTGAATTACCTGCTGGACAGGTACCATCTGCACATGAAAATGCAACACCCATGGAATACTGTATCAACTCTGTACACTCAACGTTTTAACACAGATGCACCATACCATATAGTTCTCCTCCCTAAAGTCAGAATAACCCCCAGCCGACTTTTATTTACCTTATGTACTTTGCTCAAAGTGTCTGTGTATTTCATCATGCACCAAAACGTACACCCTGCTAGATTTCAATGGAAGAGGTTTCAAAGGAATGTTTCTTTTTACGCTGAGATGCTCCACAGGCCAGTTTGTTTTTGTAGTGGTTGAATTTTTTTTTTCCCATGAAGGAAATGTATTCTTTGTAATCGAGTATATGACCTGATATGGATATCAAAACCAACTTGAGCTGTTATCTGATCCGGATTGCACTAACCTGCAATGAGTAAACTCTACCAGCAGGGGGCGACAGATTCTATTTTTAATTTCTTTTGATTCCAGCATTTCAGGGTTTTTTTTTTTTATGCCCATTTGGATTTGACCCCTGCAGGCTAGAGCTGAGCTCCAGTGCAGGCAGTACGCACTGATGAGATACGATGGTCCTCGTGTACAAAAAGGGAGTAAGATTTTTTTGTAGTGCGTAGTTTTATGGAGATAATTCCTCTATGGCCTTACGAAATTCAGGACATGCATAGTTTCACAGGCTACACCTTTTATTTCCATAAGAACAAGCAGGGAATTGTCAATCAGTGTATTTTTTAATTGTTCATAAAAGTACAGTTGCGTAGCCTTAAACGAATGATGAAATGCACTAAAGTCGAACCCAGCATTTTCTCAGGAGCGCAGGTTTGAACCTTTTGTTTAAAAAAAAAGTAAGAAATACTTTGTACTTCAAGGTACAGTATTGTTTTCTTGCTAAATTATGTAAAAAAGGGGCAAAAGTAATATTGTGTAAATAATTTGTGAAAGATGTTAACTGTATAAGAATGGACCATGTGTTTGTTTAATTTGTGGTTAATATCAGTATTTTGTAAGAAGTCTATTTATCTGTGATCCCCTTATTTGGAGGCAAAAATGTAATGACCTCGAAATAATAAAAAATCTATAACATGTTTAAATGATTTAATGTCTGACTTTTTATTTGCTTTATTTTTGGTTTCTGTTTTTCCTGTGTTCAAAAATAAAAATAATAGCCTGTTGAAGAAGTTGCCCTGTTGCTCAAATTTAAATTGGTTTGGTCTTAAAGTCAACCTGAAATCAAAACTTTGATTTTTTTTACCATGTTAGTTCACGTCTTTGGTCATATTAACCCCAATTCATCAAATCACACCATTTAACCCGTCTTTATGGAAAAGAAATACATAAGCATGTATTTTTATATGTCACATACATTTCAAATATGTTGTTTCATTCCAAAATGTGTAAAGTACATTTAGCAAAAACACATTTTTTTGCTATTTTTATTCATTTTCAAACATATTTGATAAAAACACTTTACATATGTTTTTTTTCCATATAGGTAAGACATACTCACACCTATGACCTCCTCACTACAAGTGAGTTGTTACTGCGCCAAGTCATGAAAAATCCTTCTGCTGTTAATAGAGCAATCCTGGACTGTGACACTGCTCACATGGACCACTGAGTGTACCAATGAAGCACAAAACCAGAGAACCGTTCTAATTAGATTAATCCGGTTCTTGCAGATAAACAGTAAACATGTACAAGTAAACCCTTTAAATAATGTTCCAATGACCGATATATTTCACCATATTTTTCTCCATGTAAAGTGGGCGGTCCTAATCTTTGGTAACACCTTCGTAAGCATTCCTGTGACCAATCACAAGGCTGCGTCTCTGGCGCCACCCACAGAAAATGGTTTCGGAAAGAGAAACTTAGTAAACTAAAGCTAATCCAGCATAACCAAAAGCCAGCAGGATAGATCACCTGTCTGTAGCTTCATTTGTCAGTATTTTCTGTGTACACAGATATTATTCGTTCGTCCATTCATTCATTGACATGTTATTTCAACACTACAAATATTTTTAATATTTCACTGTGTTCCTTTAAACTGAGGGGCTGACGACTTACTGTTTCTACCTAGAACTAGGCTGATCAGCTAGCTAACAGGCAAAACAACAATGCCATCAATATCACATGCTTTTAATTAAAGTACTTACTGTATGATTCGTTGTAAAACTGCAGTATAAAAGACTAAAGAATGTCACTTAAATGCCTTACATGCTGTCAATGTCCTTGTTTTAGTCCGATCTGCCTTAAGTAGCATCAAACCCAGGCTGAATCTCAAACAGCTCCCTCCGTCCTTTATAGTGCGCTATGTAATTTGTGAAATTCAGGCTTATGTACTGAAATAGTGCACTATTGCTGCCTTCAAGTCCTCCTCGAAAATTCCCACTTACGAATTTGGAGGTTGTAATTATCAGAATCAGATTCAAGCTTTATTTGCCAGGTATGCTTACACATACAAGGAATTAGGTTTTGGTTACAGGAGCTCACAGTGCACAGTATCAGACAGACATTTACATGTAGTGAATAAAATAAAATAAAATTAATATAAAATAAAATACAATAAAATGAAATACAATACAAAAAAATAAAAATAAAACATGCATTCCTACCATCACTCACTCGCACACACACACACACACACACACACACACACACACACACACACACACACGCACAGTCATACCTGTAACCTTTACATTGTGCAAAGTATGAGTCTAAAGTTAAAGTGCTGAGTGCAGCAGCAGTTAAAGGGTGTATAGTAGCAAAGAAAGGGATCAGTGAGGTGACAGTCAGATAAGTGGGGTAATATGGCAGTTAAGTAAGATGCTATGACTTCATTTGTGTTTTAAGTGGTTTTGGTCAGAAACAAAATAAACGCTTTTTTATTTATGCTGGTTTTATTTTGTTAAAGAGTCAGCATTAAGCAGCATAGCAGTAAACATCACATAACATGCGCTTATATTTGTATTTTGGCATGTGGATGATTTCAGCCTGCAATGTTAATGTGTGACTGCTGAATAACTGAAATACAGCTAGTTTACAAAACAACTACCGTTGTGTTTTTACTGATGCCCCCAACATCCGGCTAGTAAATACAACATTGTGGTGGCATTCATGTGTGATATCGTAAACACGACTTGAAGGCAGCATATTTGTCCATTACATAATTGTAAACACGGCATTTAAACAGAACAGTGCTATATTATGCTTTTTCGTTATTATATGACAAGTTTAAAAGTTCATGAACTCACTGCGATATATGATTGATATGTGACTGAATGGTCCTATTTCAGAAGTCCATGGTTGCTGATCAGGAATAACGTACCGTAAAGGAACTACATTTTTGGCGACATAATTGTTTATGTGAATTATTTAAAAAAAATAACTCAAATGATTTCTTTTAAATTTCTTTTATCATATTGTACCGTTCACCGTTATAGCATAAGACACAGCTTATGCAAGCTATGCTTTATTAGAGGCCACAGCCACGCCGTACACACGGAGCGTTCTGTCCAACAATTCGTTCTAAGCCTCGCTAAGAGCCTCGTTTTGCTTCCTAGGCCTTCAGTGTTAGACTGCTGAATTATTCCTGCTTTATGCATAAACACAGCGAAGGACGGCAATCCCCCCTTCACAACAAACGTCCTTATAGAATAACCCAGCAAATAAAATGAACCTGTAGAACATTTCTCAAACACGCTGCAATGTTTAATGTTGTCCACTGTTTTATGAAAGCAGTAAGCCAGGCCGTGAGGCTGTGTGGTTCAGTGCTTTCACCTATCCTTTAGCTAAAACTGGCTGAAAGAACCTCCCTGATGCCATGTTTCACCATAGTCCTTATATCCGTTATAACCTCTCTGGTTTTACTCACAAAAACAGCACAAAAAGAAAATGCAGTATGATTTCTCATTCACACTGACATGAAGAATGTTCTTCTACTCGGAGCTCCTGCATAGCGTGACCTGAGCTCAGCCTGTAAAGCCTTACACATATGCTCTCCTTTCACTTCATTAATAGACCTTAGGCAAAGCTGAACAGCCTCTCAGTGAGTGAGTAAAATTATAAGTTTATGTTTGGAATGGGGCCTAAGTTGGACATGTTTCATACACGGCTGCCACTTTCAATTACTTTGGTTACAGAGTAATGACTAATTTAATAAGTAAAAAGTTACCAGTTTTTCAAAAAGGGCAGACAATAAAAATAGACTTAACTGAACAATAAAAAACATGATCAGCCTTTCGGAAGTGGTGAATAATAAAATACAAATGGGTACATTCATCATTTTTTACTGTAAGAAAGCAGCGAGATAACTTCGAAAAGTTTGGCGAAAAATCAAACGTAAACAGTTTTAGTTGATTAATTAAAAATTATTTTGCTTTTTTAGTTTAGCACTGGAGCTTCAAGGCTAATGTTGCTTTCCATTTTTACCTGTAATATTTGTAACTCTGCATCTGGTACATTTATGCATATGTTCTAGGAATGTTCTAAAGTAGCAGATATATGGACCTCTGCAGTAGCCTATATTATCTCAAGTACTTGATCTCAGTTCTCCACTGTTGCCACACTTATGTCAATTAAATGATGATTCAACCCTTCAGTTTTCTTAGATTCAGCAAAGGATGCTGATGCCAGGTTTTACAGCTACCAAGAAAACTGTCTTGCAACTTTGGATTGCCGCATAGCTATCAGCTATGAAAGTCTGGATATATAATTTTCAAAATATAGTTCAAATGGAATATCTTACAGCAGAGCTCAACAAGGCAAAACAGTCAACAATAAGAAACTGGGAGAATTTATATAATTATTCATAAATTTTAGTTTCCAATTAAATTATGTTGTTCAGTCGTGTAGTTGTTTATGTATTGTCTTTCCCCACCCTTGCTGTAAAACGTAATATAAAACGCAGTAAAAAGTTGATCACAAAAAAGGCTAATGTTGCTAACAACATAAGTCAATAGTCACCCAAATCTTTTCTGCAAATGCATCCCCAAATTGTCTCTCAACCTGCTCAAACTACATCCAGAGTTACAAAAATGAATATATAGCTTTATAGCTGAACACAGCAGGCAGCCATTTTAGACAAAGAGGTGTTGTGCTGACATCAGACTCCACACATCGGATGTTAGGTCACATTTTGTTTTTTAAGCACACATCTTCAGTTCAAAACAAGATTAACAGTTATAAAAGTAAACAGCAAATTGCAAACATAATGTGCACCGTTTATATTCCTGCTTAACATGCGTGCACACAAAGGAGAGTCTATAGTCTCTGTACTCAGCGTTCAGCTACATGGTGAGGTTTAGTTCATTTTTATAGTTCACAGTAAGTCATACTGAGTCCTAAACCATATGGACACGTCTGTCTGACCCTAATGAAGAGCTGGATGCAGTTTGAGCAGGCTAAGAGAAGTTTTGAGGACGTATTTACAGAAAAGTCTTGGGTGACTATTGACTTGTAGTGTTTGTTAGCATTGTTAGCCTCTTAGCTCCAGTTCTAAACTAAAGAAGCAAAATGAGGCCAAACATGTCTTGGCTGATCCACAATGTCTGGTTTAAGTAGAAAATTGTGTAAATTGTGTACACAACAAATCACTGCTGGTTCATCGAGAAGGTAAATTTGAACTAATTTTTAAATCAAGTGTTTAAGGCTGCTGTAGTTCTCAACTACAGACTGCATTCCAGAACTAGATGGTCTTTTTAAACACAACATGAAACACAATAACAAGACAGAAATCATAAAAGGTTGAGAACAGTCCTCAATGTCAGCACTTGACTCTTCTCTTCCCATGATCGATAAATGACGGTATTATTTCTTTGATCCGTTTTCAAAAGACCAGCGTGCGACTGTTTGATATTTCCACAGGCCCGAGCTGAGATGAAAGCAGCTCTTCCAACTAACATCAGTGATAGTCCTCGCTTGTCTCCTCTGCCAAACGGAATCAGATTTGCTCAGTGTGTGCAAAGTGCTCCTTCCAACGCAATCTGTCTCCTCTGTGCCTCCACCAGCAGCTGCTGGCTCTGTAGCAGTGCAACTGGTTGCCAACTGTTGGTTATGGAGCCGTGAAACCTGTTGCTAAGGTAACAGTCAGGCC